GGCTGACGCAGTTCAGCGGCAGCTGGACGGAGAGCAACGCGGCGGAGATCCGCGAGGCGGTGCAGATGATGAGGGACATCGGAGTGAACATCATCGTCTCGCTGAGCTTCGAGGTCGACCTGCTTCCGCTGCTAAGCAGCGCAGAGGACGAGGGCCTGCTGGCAGACAACTTTGTGTGGATCATCATCGAGGGCTCCGGCAGCGCCGCCAACCTAGGCACCAACCCAGAGGCGACGCGCCTGATGGCCGGCATGTGCGCACAGCTCCCGCCTCTCTCCTTCACCCCTCCGCCTCACTCCACTCCCCGCGCTCGACTGCTCGCCCGCCCCCCTCCCCGCCAGCTCCCTCCTCGCCGCTCGCCTCCCCGCCAAGGCGGCCCGAGACACGCCTGAGACACCCGAGACACGTCGCACAGGCTCTCCTTTGAGGCCAACCCGGTGCCCGCCTTCGGCTTCCAGCGGCTTGCCAGGCTGTGGAGCAGCCTCGGACCCGACGATTGCACCCGCGCCGGCGCCGGAGGCATCTTCGACGTCCCGCCCTCCGTCTTCTCGTCGCCGCCCACGCAGTACGCCGCCTTCGCGTACGACGCCGTCGCCGGGCTCGCCATGGGCATGCGCGCGAGCGACAACCCTCACCGGGGCACAGACGTCCTTCGCTCGCTCGCAAGGGTGCGCGCTCCCGCTGCGGGACGGGTCCATGACACTGACACGCCCATGACACGTCCATGACACGTCCATGACACGCCCTGGCAGGTGAGCTTCGACGGCGCATCCGGGCCTGTCGCCTTCGACGCCCGGCTGGACAGGAACGCTTCGGGGCTCATCTTCACCTTCTCCCGCTTTTTTACGGAGACGGCTGATTGGCCCCGCCGGAGGCTGGTTACTGATACGGAGACGGCTGATTGCTCGACCGAGCCAGCCTCTCCCGAGCCAGCTTCGTGCAAGAGGCTGGCCCCGCGGATCTGCAAGATACTGCCCGGCGAAGCTGCGGCGGTGGACTGGGAAGCGGTCGAGACCGTGCCCCTCCTCTTTCGAGACGGGTCCGCCAAGCCAGCCCGAGGATGCCCTCGCTCCACCACAGCCGTTCACCCGTCACTGCATGGATGCCTAGGTCCGCCACGCCGCCCGAAGACGCCCTGCTCGCGCGCGAGCGGGAGCGTGAGGCGGAGCGGCGGCAGCAGCGCCGCCTCATTATCCTTCTCACCTCCGTCTTCGGCGCGCTCCTCCTCCTCTTCGTGGCGCTCACCTACCGCGCGAGCCTCTCCGTGCGCAACTTCAAGCGGCGCGAGATCGCGGCCAAGCAGGCGCGCGAGATGACCCGAGATCGACCGATATGTCCACCCGAGGTCACCCGAGGTCATACGCGGTCAAAGGGGGTCACCCGAGGTCACCCGAGGTCACCCGAGATCACCCGAGGTCACCCGAGAATGCGGCGAAGCAGGTGCTCGAGGCGATCCGCGGCGTACACCGGCTCGACCACCCGTGCGTGCTGCTGCCGGCGCGCGCCTTTCTGCGGATGGGGTCACTGCGCGAGCACGAGGCGCTGCGTGCCGAGGGCCAGCTGCTCTTTTACGACTCGCCGCGGCAGCTCGCCGACAAACACGTCGTCTTCTTCTCGCACCAGTGGCTCTCCTTTGGCACGCCCGACCCGCTCGGAGTGCAGTACAGAGTGATGGCCGCGTCGCTGCGGCGTGTCATCGCCGACACGGGCTGGGAGGAGGCCAACGTGCAGGTGTGGGTGGACCTGGCCTCGATCCCCCAGAGCAAGCCCCTGCTCAAGCAGCTGGCCGTGCAGACCATCGCCTGTTACTGCGCGGCTGCACACGCCTTTGTGATTTGCGCGCCGACCACGATTCACGCGGACACGGGCGAGGTGTGCAACGTGCAGTCGTACCAGCGCCGGATGTGGTGCCGCTGTGAGCAACTGTGCCACGTGCTGCGCAAGGGCACAGGCACGATGTGGTGCGCGACCACAGAGGACGACTGCAGGTTGCAACGCCGCCACCTCGCCGCCACCTCGCCGCCACCTCGCCGCTGCCGGCCCCGCCGCTGCCGCCTCGCCCCCGCCGCCCTCACTGTCGCCGCCGCCGCGCCCTCTCTCTCCACAGGCGCCTCGGCGAGCTCGACAGCGAGTGGCTGATGTCGGTGCTGCGCGTGTTTGAGGGCGACGTGACGGACGAGGGCGACTACCTCTCGATCGTGCTGCCCATTCTCGGGTTGTACGCGGAGCTGTACGCCCTGGAGCTCAAGCGGCGCGCGCAGGCGGTGCCGTGGCAGTCCTCGCCCGCCGCGGCAGCCGAGGCGGCGCTGTGTCAAGTGGGCAGCGAGGAGCGGCGCGCCCAGACGCTGCAGCTCGTGCTCAACGAGATCCGCGGCGCGAAGCGGGGCGAGATCTTCCCGCCGAAGTTGCGCATGTCGGCGCAGCGGCTCGCGCAGCTGCCGCTCCGGAAGCGGCTCCTCTCGCGGCTTCCGACACGCGTCTTTGGAGGGTGCTTCGACCCGCGCCGGGACTTGTTTGGCGAGCTGATCCACCTCGTTGAGCGCGCCATCGATCTGGACCCGCAGATCCTGGACGAGGCCGTCGCGCAGGCGGAGAGAGAGAGAGAGAGATTCGACCACCCGAGAGGGGAACCCGGCAGTCTCCGCGGCTGACCGCGAGATTTGCCGCTACGCAGGCGGAGAGCGGGCACGACGTGCAGCGAGTGCAGAAGAAGATTGAGAGGTCGCTGAGCCGGAGGAGCACCGCCTCGAGCGGCTCGCGGTGGACCCCGACGGTGATGCGGCGCCTGCCGGCCTTGAAGAGGCCCCCCTCGGACAGGCGCAGCGAGGCAGAGCCGGCGAGGGCGGAGGCCGGCGGCGAGGCTGGAGCGGACGGTGCGAAGTGCTCGCCTGCGGAGACGCGCAGCACCACGTGCTCGCACACCACGGACGACAGCGGCGAGTCGGCCAAGGGCGAGCTCGACGACGCGGACGGTGCAAAGATGGAGGCGGTGGCAGCGGACGCGATCCGGGCGATCCACGCGTACGGCAGAGGCGACGCCGACAGGGCGCGCGCCGGCCCACCCGGACCCAACGTCGAGCTCGGCTTGGTGGTCACCGACCACGCAGCGCTGGTGCGATCGTGGAGGCTCTCCTTCTCGCCGACTCCCGACCAGGAGGGGCGTAGTCCCGGCGGGGGAGTGCAGACGCCGACCGGCCAGGCCCCCGCCACCGACCACGCGGCGCTGATGCGGGCGTGGAGGCGCTCATCCGAGAGGTCACCACCATGCCGGAGCAGTGGGGGGTCGAGCGCGGGCGACGCGAGCGATGGGACGGCGACCAAGGAGGGGGGAGCAGGAGGAGCCTCTGGGCCGGAGCGGGTGTGACACGGGTCACGGCGGCTCGTACACACTTCTGTCTCTCTCTACAAGTGCTTTTGTGACTGAGTTTTCAGTTTTGAGTCGTCATCTCCGATCTCGCGGTACGTGATAGCTTACCCTCTTACGTGTGTGTGTACGTCTCTCCCTCAGTACTCTAATCCGACATGGACATCGGCGTCATCTCTGAAAAGGGTTTGTGGCCCCCGCGGCTTGCCCCACATCAAGCCTCCCAAAGGGATCAAGCAGATCATCCCCGCCCGCCGCAGAGAGAGGCGGCACCGATGGTGACGCCGGCGCAGCGCACGCGGACCACGGGTCGCCGCTCGTGTCGAACGGGTTAGCAGCGCCCGAAGCCGCTGCGGCCGCAAACCCGCCCCCTGCTAGCGAAGCCGAAGGAGCAGCGCCGAAGGCAGCCCATGGGTCGCCAGAGGACGGGGTCGGCTGTGCCGTGGAGGGCGGGGTCGGCTGCGAGAGCACCGGCGCCGCCGACGCCGCGGCGCCGCCGCCAAACAGATCGTCGAGGCTCGCCCCAAGCAAGTCTGGCGGCGGCGACGGCGTGTGCGCAGGTGCTGCGTGGCCATCGGCACCGCCGCCGCCCGCGCCGCCGCCCGCCCCCGACGCCGTGGACCCCCACGGGTTGTCATAGGCTGTGCCGAGCCCAAAGGCCGTGCCGGCGGGCTGAGCACTCCAGGGGTCGTCAAAGACCCGCCCCTCCTGCGGCTGCTGCGGCGGCGGTGGTGGCGGCGGTGGTGGCGGCGGTGGCAATCCTCCGGGCCGTCCCTCCCCGAAGATGGGCGTGGGCGCCGGGGCGGCGGAGTGGATGGCGGAGTGGGCGGCGGAGTCCCGGTCGGTGCACAGGGCAGCGGGAGGGAGCAGGGCGCGGAGCGCCGCCACCCAGAGGCCAAAGGTGACCTCGTCGTCGAAGGAGACGTCGAGCGACTCGCGCCGGCTGCCGGGCTCGACGCCTCCGCCTGCAGGGCCGATGCCTCCACGGACCTTGTACTGCGCTGGCGGAGAGGACGAGGCCGACGCGCCGCTGCCGCCCTCGTGGAAGCGCAGCGACAGGGAGAGGTGGTCGCGACCCGGCGCCGAGAGGCGGCCGCGGTAGCGTTTGAAGACTTCACTCTCTCTCCCAACGAGCAGGCGTGAGACGTGTCGCAGCTCGACGGCGCGCGATCTCGGCAACAAACCGGACACGACGCCGCGCGCCGCCCATGAGAGCGTGCGCTCGTCCAGCGACAGAGTGAAGGTGGTGGCGTGCGGCGTGCCCTGCTCCCCAAACTTTACAGCCACGCAGCCCGACTTGAGCAGGGAGATGCCCTCGACCGCGGCGGCGGAGCGCATGATCGGTAGGCTGCGAGCAGACGAGTTTTGCGACTACTCCGTACCCGGGTAGTGGAGCCTCCACCGTTCCACGGCGTCTTGACGAATGAAAGAATCTTAGAACAAAATGAAAGAATTTTACCATGCGGGTAGGGGGTCTCTCTGTGTGTGTGTGTGTGTGTGTGTGTGTGTGCCTCCGGCTGCTTGCGGCGGGCGGCTTGCTGCTCGCTGCATGGCGAAAAACTCGTCTCGCCACACGCCAAGGGCTTATGCTCTGGCGAGACGTGAGGCGCATGCGCCCAGGAGGGGAGGGGGCATGCGTAACGACACTGCTAGAGATGCCTTTCGGGGCCCAGAGACAAAACTTCTGATGCCATGCGTGACCTAGTAGTGTCCCCAGCTATGGGCGTGTCCACGTTGGAGCCAGGTGTGGTGTGGGCGCGAGAATGGCTCCGCCGTTCATGGAGGCAACCGATGCGAGTCGACTGGTGTGTGTCGTCGTGGTTTCGTATCAAGAATACTCACTCACTCACACTAGGGGGTCTCTCACAGCACGCACCATTCAACAACGCAACACAAAAAAGAAGTGAACCGCCGGGGCGGGCGCCTGGCGGCGCCGCTGCGCAACAAGGGTTTCCAGGTTTTAGATCTGTATTGGGAGAGATTTTTAGCAATACCAAACAACTCTAACACTCACACGTCATTTGGGGCCTGTTTTTGTTGTATTGGTGTCGGAGAGAGAGATTTGAGTGTTAGAGTTGGTGTCGGCACACATACACATCCCCACATGAGGTCAGCGGCGCGCAGTGCCTCTCTCGCAGGCCGATTTTGGCTGCTTTCGAGCTTGTTTTTGTTTTCAGTCTAGGGGGGGCCGACCCCCTCAGAGAGAGATTTTTAGCAATTCCAAACAACTCTAACACTCACACGTCGTTTGCAGCCTGTAGTTTATGGTGGTTTAGAGTTTGGGGGGGGAGGGGGGGGGGGGACAAATTTGGGCGGTCGACTTCAATTTTGGGGTGTGTGGACAGCGACTACTAGACGCAGAGACAACGAGGATGCGGCCCATCTGCTGGACGTCTTCGATCGTGGCGGTCGTCGCCGTGTTGGCCGTGTGCAGCAAACATGGTGTTCCGAGCAGGGGCCTGCAGCTCCGCTCTCTCGCACCATCCGGCCTCCCGGAGCGTACCGGCGACCCCGGCAAGGCCTTTGAGCTCGCACGGGAGCTTGGCGCCTCCATACTCACCGGCGTTGACATGAGCGCACGTTGACACCATCGTGCAGTATCGCGTTGAGCCGTACGAGGCGCCAGACTTCTTCATGCTCTGTGCGCGCAGGCCGTCTCCGGGTGAGTCATTCCTCACGAGCCTGCGCGCCGCCGTCCGCCGCATGCCTGCAGAGCACCGGAAGCACATCGATCGCCTCTCGATCGTGCAACGCATCCAACTGCCGCCGGACTACGACCGGCTCAGCGACAACAGCACCGATCGCACGCAGGCACAGCAGTCGGAACATGCGGCGTCAGCACCGACCGATCGCGTCGAGCGGTTCGTCGTTCCAAATCCTATCGCCAACCAAAGGCCGGCGATCCGAATCTCCTCCTTCTCCGACGCCGACGCCCTGCTGGCGGCTCTCGAGACCGAGGAAACGCCGCCCGTGCGCCCGCTGCCGACATCGCTCAGGCCGGACCTTGACATGCAGACCGTGATGCATTTTCTCCGCGCTGTGGCCGCCGAGACCGCCGACGGCGGCTCGCTTCCGGCTCGAGGAGGGCGAGTGTGTGTTGGTGGACAACTTCCTGACGGCGCACGGCCGCGAGGCCTACACTGACCTCGGCCGCGCCATGTGGCACAGGTGTGGGCGTGGACGAACGAGTCGATCGCGGTGTCGCCCCACGAGTGGTCACGCAGCGGCGAGGGAGGAGGTAGAATAGGCCGGAGCTGTAGAAAATTGTTGGCTGTATTTATTTATGTCGAGTGTGCAAAAGGCGTGCCACAGCGAGCACACCGGACCCGGACGTCTCGATCAGAGTCTCTCACCGACAAGTGACGAAGTCCGTGTGGCACACAGAAAGAGAAGGAGGTGTGTAAGAGTCGGCCGGAAGAAGGCTCAGCATGGTGGCTTGCATGGTATGGGGCGTGTCGGCAGGCCTTGGATGACATGAGCATGTTGGCTGCGCTCGAAGGCGAAGCCGCGCGAGCCTGAGAGATGCAGGTGATCAGCTCGCGAAATCTGAACGGCGGTCGGGTTCTCGTTGCGGAGTCGAAGGCGCGGCCGCGTTGCCGGCGCCTCGATCACGGGTGCAAAGCACGAGTGGCTTTCGCCGATCTGGTCGACGGGTTTTTCAGTGACCGACGTAAAGCGCTCCGCTTGGCGAGCTGAGCTGAGCGTGGCTTCGAGGGCGGGGCCTTTGCCGACTGCAAATAGTCAAGGGGCAACGCTAGGGCCGACGAGAGCCCGACACTCACGAGGATCAGCAGCAAAACCAGGACACTCTTCATATCGGCCGAGCGACGTCACCTGCTCATCCAGTTTGGGCTCGCCGAGCTTCGACAACGTTGGGCGGGATTTGTTGTTAATTCTCGATCTAGGTGGCGTCTTTTTTGCGTAGCCGGACCTGAGGAGGGCAGGTCGGAGGCGCCGGGATGTAGAGCTCTTACAGCTCTATACACTATAGCGCTCCAGAGCGCTCTACACTCTACAGCTCTACATAGCGCTCTACACTCTACATCCTCTACACCCTCCTCAGTGCCGCTCAGACCAGGTAGCCGCGCGTGTCGGAGAGATAGCCTGAAACGCCCGGATGGATGGGATCCCCGCCCAGGAACGCAGAAAGAAGAAAAGATCCCGCCCCGTTCTCCCGTAGGTTGCAGCCTATATAAAGAAAGAAAGAAAACAGACAACCCAGGGGAGGGATGGGAGGACGGCACGCCGCCACCACACAGGGATTTTAAGGAGAGGAGTGTGGTGCTAGCCGTCGCCCACCCTAACCCTTGGTCGTCTGCCTCTTTCTATCTCCCTTCGCAGTCCCTCGCCGATTCTCGCTGCAACCTTCATGCCACCTCGCGGTCGTCCCACTCTCGTCGTTCTCCATCCTGTCGCTTCCTCCTCTGTCGCGTCGCTCTCGCTCGTCTGCCTCATCCGCGACGCCGCCGCCGCCTGCCGATCCCTTGCTCTCGCGGCTTCTCCCGCCTTTCGGCGCAACTCTGCCCTCCTGGCGGCACATTTTGGCCCCTCGAGTTTATCGAGCTCTCCTCGCGCAAGGAGAGAGAGAGATTTTTAGCATTTGTTTTGTTGTCGCAAGGACGACTCTTCTGACGCCCACTGCGATCATTTGCCGCCAAGTCATATCGTTGCTCAGGTCCACTCTCTCTTCGAACACTTTTACCTCCACCGATGATGTTGGCGCTGGGGTCCCCTTAGGGTGCCTCCTCTTTGGTGCGAGGTGTCGTGAGGCTGGGTTGGACGGGTTCTAAAATTCTCTCTCTTGTTTGTTTTGCTCTTTTGCCGCGCGGGCAAAAAGTGGAAGGAGCCACAGGCTGCCCTGGCCGGCACTCCCCGCGCTCGCCCTCCGTCCCCGCCCGACGCCGCCGCGTGGCACAGCCCCTCGCAAACATGTTGCGGCCAACCAACGGCCTGCGCGTCCTCGTGCGCGCCTGCCACTCCGCCGGCGGCCCGCGCGCCGGCTACGACGCCGCCACCTCGTCTGGTTATTTCCGACCGGACCCGATGCAGCTTGCGGCGCTAGACCACCTCGAAAAGGTCTACGCACGGGTGTCGACCGCGCACACCGCCGCCGGTCCCGCTGGCGTGTACCTGCACGGCCCGGTCGGCAGCGGCAAGACCGCGCTCATGGACCTGCTGCTGCAGAGCTGCCGCGGTGCGGGCGCCAGCTGCCGCCGGCTGCACTTTCACGAACTGATGGAGCACGCGCACCGACAGATGCACAAGAAACGGGCGCCGCCTGAGATTGGCGCCGACCTCGCCGCCGAGGCGTCCCTCGTCTGCCTTGACGAGATGGCGCTCACCGACATCGCCGACGCCGCCATTGTCACGCGCCTGCTCGAGGGTTGCGTGAGCGGCGGTGCTGCCGTCGTGACGACATCAAACCGGCGGCCGGAGGAGCTGTACTGGAACGGGCTCAACCGGCACGTCTACATCCCCGGCTTTTGCGAGATGCTCGGGCGGCGCGGCGTCGTCGTGCACGAGCTGCAGGCGCGTCCGCCACCGCTGCCGCCACCGCTGCCGCCACCGCTACCGCTTCGATAACCGCCTCGCACCACCGCTCTCGCTGCCACCGCCCTCGCTGCCGCCGCCAGCACTCTACCATAATCACTGCCTCTACCACCGCCGCCGCCGCCGCCGCCGCCGCCGCCGCACTCGTACGCGCGCCCTTTTGACGGCGCCCTCTCAGGCGGAGGGCGACACAGACTACCGCGCCCGCCGCGCGGACCAAGGAACGAGGCGCAAGGCCGAGGCCAGCGCCGTCGGCGGTGACGTCAGCGGCGACGGCGCGGAGGCTGCCGCCGGCGGCGCGCGCTACCACTGGCCTGCGGACGGGGCGGCGGCGGCGGCGATCCGGCGGTCCTTCGAGGCGCGTGGCGGCGCGCTGGGCCGCGTGCGGCTGCCGCTCGGCGAGAGCGGGCGGCGCGGCCTCGACCTGCCACTCGCCAACCGGGTGGGGTGCGTGGTGAGCTTCGCGACGCTCTGCGGGAGCGCGCTCGGCGCCGCAGACTACCTCGAGCTGGCGAGGCGGTGCGGGCTTGCTCGCGGTCCGAGGGGGCGAGGAGACGCTGTTCACAGGCGGAGGGGTCGCGCGCTGCGAGCAGGTACGAGCTGCTCGCGGTGGAGGGGGTGCCTGCGCTCACGCCCGAGGACCACAACGCGGCGAGGCGCTTCATCACGCTGATCGACGTGTGGTACGACCAGGGCAAGGAGCTCCCTCCTCTCGCCGCCAGCCCGTGGACGTGGACGGCGTCTCTTCACGCCTCTTCCTGTGAGCAGGAGCTGCACCTCTCGTCGGCGGTGCCGCTGCCGCAGCTCTTCTCCGGCATGCACGAGGAGGGAATGCGAGCCTCCCTCGGCAGCCTGTCCACGTACGCTCAGGCCGACCCGGTGCCCGCCGCGACGTCTGTGCGCGGCTTCGGCGGAGCGTCTGCGGGGCTCACCTCGACGTGCCTGGGGGGGGGCGCGAGCAGAGGGGCTGAGGACGGCGCCTCCTCACGCCTGCCCGCGTGTGGACAGGTGGATGGGGGACGGGACCGAGTGGTCCGCCACCGGGCTCATGGGCGTCTCGATGGCGGCGCTCAACGGGCTGCAGGACGCCGCCTTTGCGCAGCGGCGAGCGGCGTCGCGGCTGCTCGAGATGTCGGCCGCCGACTCGTGGCCGCCGCCCGCGCGGAGTGCGGCCGCGGGCGGGCAGGACCGGTGAGAGACGGGTGAGGAGCGGGCGTGGGGCTGGGCTGTGGTGTGCGGAGTTCCGCTTTTCCGGACGGGGCGGCGAGGGCCATCGCGCAATCGGTCGGGCTGGGGGAGGCTGCGGCGCGCGGCTGCGCGGCGGGATCGAATATAAAATAAAGAGGCACAACCGCCGAGTTTCTATGAAAAAATACAAGATCCTACCGCCGAGACTAGGGGGCTACGTGTATACACTCTCTGGGTCTCGGGAAAGACGGTTGCTTCCCCCAGGATTGGTCTTCTCTGCCTGCGGGAACACACTCGGGCGGCCGGGTGGGGCTGCGGCTGGAGCTAGCATGGCTCGATAGAGCCGAGACCCCGTGTTGAGGCGGCGCTCCTGTGGGCGGCTGTAGCGAGTCGGGATATATTCGGCAGATCTGACGTATCTCCCGATCTCATCCCAGTGATGACTCAGTCGCTGGCGGCCGCAGTCTTCTGTGACCCACCCACCTCTCCCTTGTGTTTTGTCTGGGGAGGGGCTTCTCCTGCGGAGTCGTGCGTGCCGCCGTGCGCAGGGCTCCTCTTTGGACTTTGCTTAATTTCTTCTACGCTCCCTATACTACGGGGTGTGGACCGTGAGTTGACCAGGGGTTGTGCGCCGCGCCGGGCCCTCCTGTTCGGCTCCAGCGAGTAGACAAGTGTTCTGTTGTCATCAACACAGAGTAGAAGGATCTGACCTTGGGGCCGATATGTGACCAAGCGCTGGTAGCGTGATTTTACCTCACACCCATGGTCTCAATTTTATTTTGTCCGATGAATTCTCTTTTTTCCATGGCGTTGCGAGCGGCGAGCGGAGCGGACATCGCGGGAAAGAATTTTACGACCCAGAAAAAGAAATCATGGTGGCCCTGTCGAAAACGCTTCATAAATTAGCTCTGAAGACGGATCTCACAGCTTGCTGTGCTCGCACAGCGTGGGCAATCTCCTGCACCCGCTACCGCGCATCTCCCCCTGCTCGCGCCCCTCCCGCTCCTCCTCCCTCGCGAGGATGGCGCGCAGGTAGTGCACGAGGACGCGGTCGGTCCACGCGCCGAGCAGCGGCGTCGCGCCCGCCGTGTAGCCGATGTGCCCTCCGTGCCGGGTGATCGCCGTCACGATGTGCGGGTTCGACGCCATCGCGGCGAGCGGCAGCGACCAGACGGGCACCACCGGGTCATCGCGCGCGTGGACCACGAGCAGCGGCCTAGGGGAGCACACCGTCAGTGTCGAGGAGGTGTCGTGGAGGTGTCGAGGAGGTGTCGTGGAGGTGTCGTGTCGCGGCGTCTTCTCGGAGCACTCGGGTGCACTAGACCTCTGCTACGGACCTCTGCTACTTTCTGCTGCTGCTGCCACCGCCGCCGCCGCCGCTACTGGCGGCGACGCGCGCCTGGCGACGCGCCGCACCAGCTCCTCGCCGACCGAGCAGCGGCGCCAGTACTCCTCGTGGCCCGACAGGCCCCACAGCGGCGCAAACACCTCGTCCTCGTACCCGCGAAAGACGCCCAGGAAGGCGCGCCACACCTGCAGAGACACACGGCTCCGGGAGAAGTCGGGGAAGGGTCGATGCAAGACACACCGCCGAGGAGACCCGCGCCACGCGCCGAGACGGGACCGCCCGCTAGCTCCCTCCGATGGGAAAGAAAGTACAGCCACAACTTGAAGCCGATCGCGAGGCCGTACAGGCGCCCGACCGGCGTGCCTGCTCACAGCCGCGCCGCTGTGAAGAGACGCGCCAGCTCACAGCGGGCCCTGCACCGCCGGACCCGCTGTGTGCGCCTTGCCAGTACCGCTGCACCGCAGACACGTCAAGCGCGGGCGAGACGGCCATCGCCGCCCGCAGCTCGCACCCCTCGCCCGCCTCTGCCATGTGCCGCACCAGGATGCAGCCGCCCATCGACCAGCCGACCGCGTAGAGGGGGGACGAGGGCAGCCGCCGCCGCAAGTGGCTCAAGATCTCCGCCAGATCAGGCGCGCCGAGGCCGCAGTAGACCTTTGGCGTCGCTCCGCCCGCCGCGCTGAGGGGGAGTCCGCCCAGCCCGCGCCAGTTGACCGCGGCGGGCGTGCCGAGCCCTTCTGCGAGGACGAGTCGCATCACGTGCTGCACGTACGGGAAGGCGGCGTCGTTGTTGATGCCCGGCAGCATCAGGATCACCGGCACGCCGTCCGCCGGCCGGCAGGGGAACCTTTGCCGCACAAAGGAGGCTGGAGTCCGGGAACCATGAGCCAAGGCGAGAGCCTTGGCGAGAGCGGGAACCATGAACCGAGCACGGGCGTGTGCATGTGTGGCACGCCCGCAGCCGAGCGCCAACGGTGCAAAGTACTGCGTCTAGACAGGGGAGTGGTACGCGTTTCCGCATCTAGAGGTGGGACCACTCGACTGAGACAGTGCCACCGTCGGAGAGCGGAACTAGCTCGCGGTCGCAGCGGTGCCGCCACGAGGGGAGCTTGATGTAGCCAAAGAGGGAGGCGAGGTGCCCGTTCCGCGTGAGCACGTTCGGGATGTACGACCGAAGCAGGAGCGGCACCGCCATGACGAGCTTGACATTCTCCTCGCTCGGCGCGTACCGCAGCTCTGGCGGCGCCGCCTCCCGAATCCAACGCGTGAAGAGGAGCGCCATGCCGACGGCGGTGGTCGCGGCTGAGGCGGATGCCGTCAGCAGCAGCCGCCATAGGCCGCTGCCATCCTCGGAGGTTTGCGGCTGCGAAGTTGGGCTGTCGCCACGTGACGTCGGACTGTCGCCACTGGAAGGCGTGTCGACATCGTCGAGGCGGTCACCACTGACCTCGACCGCCTCGTCGTCCTCTGCGCCGACGATCTCGCCGCTGCTGGAGTCGTCTTGATCTGCGTCGACAGACTCCAGCGCGACAGCCATCTGCACCGGTTGTATGAGAGAGAGAAAAGAATTCAGCAATGCGCACAGCATTCGACACAGGTACCAAAAGAGGCACAGCCTGCGACGGACCTGAGAGAGAAAAGAATTTTAGAAAATCCGTCACACAACACTGGACTCCCCAGGGTGGGCGACGGCACGTTCGCCCCTGTCGCCTGTCTGTTGTTGTGCTGTTGTTTGTCTCTTGGCACCTTGGAGTGCTGGGGGGGGCGACAGGGGGGACGTGGCCTGAGTGATGTGTACGCCCACTCAGGATGTGTGGCAGCCCGCTGGCTGTGTGTCTTGTGAGCTTGTTTGTGTCTGTGTGTCGCTCGTGCGTGTCGTCATCATCTGTCTTGCGTCCACCCATACCGCGTTGGTGTCCAGTCCGAGCCTGACTGTTCTTCACCTTACTACATATGTATGTTCGTAGGGAGGTGATGAGGAGTCAGTTAGCGCGGCGGGCGGTTAGACGTTACGAGAGGTGTATGTTGAAGGGATGATGATGAGTCAGTTCGCGCGGCGGGCGGTTAGACGTTACGGTTCGGGAGGCTTTGGAGCGATGAGCGTGTCTCATTGCGTCAGGCCCGCGACCGACACCCACCGGAGCGTGGCTTTGGCGCAGGGCCGGCCGCACCATGCCGAATCCGCTCGCGTTCGTCGGCGGAGGCGCGGTGCTGACGGCGGCGGCCCGAGCGGCGGACAAGGCGACATACATACAGAGTTACTCAGGTGCAAGGCGGCGCTGCGAGATCTCTTTCATTTTGTTGAACTCTCTTTCATTCTGTTATTTTGATTCGCATTCGAGACAGAGAATTTTAGAATGTGAGGCGTAACCCCCGTCAGCCACCACTTCTCACTCGAATCCGGAATGCCATACATGACGGCTAGCGCATCACACTCCTCTCCTTAAAATCCCTGTGTGGTGGCGGCGTGCCGTTCTCCCATCCCTCCCTTACTGTCTGTTTTCTTTCTTTTTGGGCGCCACACCCCTCTCCTTAAAATCCCTGTGTGGTGGCGGCGTGCCGTCCTCCCATCCCTCCCTTGGGTTGTCCGTTTTCTTTCTTTCTTTCTTTTACACTGGGCGAAAAAATTCCGGCGCGCCAAAACCTGCGCGGTTTCTCTGCCGCCGTGTGTGCCCCCTGTACCATGACTCCCCTGCTTCACTGCTTTAGCTCCCTAAGGCTTCGCTATAATCTCGCCGTCAGCGACGAAGAGCTCTTTTCGGCATTTGGGGCCGTGCTGCCCGGGGCTCCTTTTGCAGCCTTTGCAGCAGTGCTGCGGGGCGAGGCCGGTGACGGCATAGCCGCAGTTGGCGCAGCGAGCGGCCGGTCGCGCTTGCGGTTTCGCGCTGCGTCGTGTGGCGAGGACGCTGGCGAGGCGGCCGAGGCGGGCCAAGACGGATGCGAGCTTGGCACCAGGCACTTGGCTCCCGCCCTCGCCACACGACGCAGCGGCCAGTGCGAGCCCTTCCCCCGTGGAGACCGCCGCCTGAAGCGCGTTGGCTTGCTTAACGATGGCTTCTGCCGGTCGCGCCCGCTGGGTCGTGTGCCAGCGGTGAGCGAGCACCATGATCGCCCTCGCGCGATTCTCGCACTGCCCCGCGAGGTTGTCCAGTTGCTTGAGCGTGGCGTGCGCTTTGGTGCCAGCCGCGCCGCGTGGCGCCACGCAAAGGTTTTGGCATTCGTGTGCTGCGTTGCAGGCCAGCCGCGCCACCCCGATGATGACCTCTGCTGAAGCAACCACCGCCCCGGCCTTGGAGAGCAGAGCCTCCTCGGCCTGCCCCCAGGAGAAGAAGTCCACCCGTACCCCGGGCGGCGGAAGTGGCAGGGGCGCACCGTCCGCGAGTCCGCTCGGTCGCGTCGGTGGTCGGTCCCCTCCAGAGTGCGCGGCCGTGATTGCCGCGAGGTATCTGTCTTTCCGCGCGAGCAGGCTTTTGATGACGCCCCTCTGCTCAGCCACACCCTCCGTGTCCCCGCCGAGGCTGTCAAGATCGGTCCGGATCTGAGCGAGGAGTCGGCTTGCTTGCGGCAGCAGCCTCTCTAGCGGCTTGCTCACGTTGCGGGCATTCCGCACCCGGCCTACTAGAGCCCTCATCGTTGCCTCGATTTTCCCCGATGTATTGTCGGCTTTCCGAAAGCGCTCGAGGAGCCGCTGCGAAGCCTCAGACGAGCTGTCGGTTGTGACAAGACTTGCCCAGTAGCGCAGCGCGTTGCGAATCTCGTGTGCCGCGTTGCCCACCTGGTAAGAAACCGCCTCGACCCACGTCCGGTACTCGTCGGCAGGCGGCGCATTGGCCGCATTGCTCAACGACTTCTTTGGCGGTGGAAGGGACGGAATGAGCGGCAGTACACCGCCATCGTCCGATCCCCAGCCACCTTGCTCCTCACACTGCATCGCCTCCTTTGCCTCCTCATCGTCGCTCTCGCAGCTTGTCAAAGGTTGGCTGCTAACGACCTGCGCCGTCCCATTGGCGATCGCAGCGATCGGGTTGCCAGCAACATCGAAGATCATGTGGACGGGCGCGTCTCGGCGCGACGCGTCCCGTTCTCTTCTCGGTTGTCTCCTTCTCAAACTGAGAGAAGAAAACTGATCTGCACGGGTGAGTCACGTCGGCGTCAAAGGAGCGACGTGCGACCTGTCAGAGCTTGATCTCCGATCTCAGCGGCGTCGAGTCGTCTCCGGCGGCGACACTTTTGTACCTCCCCAGGACGCGCAGAGGCAGCTGCGACCCCGCCGAGTGGACGGTTGCACACCGCGCTACCTGCTGTGTGCAACCGTCTACTCGGCGGGGTGACAGCTGCCTCTGGAAGGCACCGAGAGGTACGAAATGGCGCAAATGGTCAAGATCAAGGTTTTGTAACGCGAGCTGTGCCACAGTGAAATGGCACTAGCCAGCGCCAACGCAGTATTTCTTCTTTTCTCGATAAACAGTCTGCCAGCACGTATTTCTTCTCAATAACAAGGCCTGTACACGGCGCTGACTTCTGACTGTCATTGCTGTCTCTCCCTTTTCGACTGTCTGTGGTTGTGCGTAATGGGTCCGGGTTGTGCGTTTACGTGAACGGCGGGTCTGTGAACGGCGTTTTGACAATGTGGCCGCCGCCGCCCTCGCCCTCCTCGTCGTCGCCCTCCTCGTCGCTGCTGCCGCCACCGCCGCTGCAGCAGGCAGCGACGAGCGGGCCGCCGCCGCCCTCGCCCTCCTCGTCGTCGCCCTCCTCGTCGCTGCTGCCCGCCGCGGCGGTCGCAACGGCGGCCACGGTCCCCGCCGCACGTCGCCAACTTGGCTGGCGTCTGTGGAGCCGACGTCACGAGCAGGATAGCTCGCCGCCTCCGCCGCCGCCGCCGCCGCTGGGCTCGCCGCCGCCGCCGCTGGCCTCGCCGCCGCCGCCGGCGGAAGCGGTGTCTTCCTCGCAGGAGGAGGGAGAGGGCGGCGGCAAGGAGGGCGGAGCGCAGGCAGCGGTGTCGGAGGCGATGGGGATGGCTGTGGACGCCTCCATTCCTTCAGAGGTGCGAACGTGGGTGGCGCAGCTGCGCGGCGGCTCGGACGGGCAGAAGGAGGCGGCCGCGCGGGAGTTGTGGGTGCTCGCGTTTGACAACGCCGACAACAAGGTGGCGATTGCGAAGGCGGGTGGCATCGCGCCGCTGGTCGCGTTGGCTCGCGGCGGCACGGCCAGGCAGAAGTATCAGGCCGCGGGGGCGCTGAGGCGCCTCGCTTTCAACGCCGACAACAAGGTGACGATTCAGAATGCAGGGTGGCGTATATAGCAATTATAACCTCCAACAGAAAGAGAGAAAGAAAGAACAGAAATTGATGCGCGGGCAGCCCATCGCAGACTTTTCACGGTGGCGAACGAGCCAGCAGAAAGTGGCAAAATCGGTCCAGCAGAATGGCGTTCTCGCCCCCTTTCCTGTACGCGTGGGTCTCAGAGGACGAATGCGCACCGGGCCTTCGAGGACATCAAAGTCGGCTGCGCCCTACGGCCATCCCGCCGGCTCTCGAGTGTCGCAGCGCGACGCGCTTTAGCCTTTACCCTTCGACTCCGCGCTGCGAGTCGATCTGGAGACGACGCTCGGCCACCGCCAACTCCACCCTGACGCGTCGCACATGCGCCGAGTGTCCCCCCCGAGGGTGTCCTTGTATAGTATGCTTGGTTGCGAGTTAAAAAAAAACCGTTCCGCACCCGCAGCCAGCAGCAGTACACATGCCGTTCTGGCGCCCCTCGGCTGGCCAGAGGACGACTCACAATGCAAAATCGGAAAGACATCACGAGGGGCCGTATAAACGGTGCCGCAGCGGCCCGGGACACTAACAGTGAATTGCTGCCACTCGCCCGGCCTCCTCCCCCTCGGGGTCGCCCGGAAAGTGGGCTTGCGCACCGGCGCCCCCCCCAGCACGCCGACCCGAGGTGTACCCTCCGGCCACCTGGGAGGGGAGCTCACTCCAATTTTGGCCCATTGGCTTCACCATGATGGATACGGAGGTGGCCAGCCCTTGGTTGTGCACCTGCGGCGCGAAGAGGAGGTGATCTCGTCGGACGAAGGCCGTGCCGAGAGCGCGCGCAGCGCGGAAGAGGGTGCGCAGCGCGTCGCGGCCGCGCACTTGGGAGCCGAGGGGATGGCCGGAGGGGGCGGGACGCCTGCATGTCCTCGAAGCTCCCATCCGCATACGCAAGCCGAGCAGCGAACGGCGGCGAGAGAGTTTGGCAGGGTCAGCAAGGACCGCGCATGGCGAAGGGCCCGATTTTGCTACTTTTGCTGTTTTTCGCTGCCCATCGTGTTTTTTAAGAGGTAGAGTACCCGAGAGGCCCGAGTTTCTGAAAAACTAAACGAATTGTGTTGACTGCCGGGGGCGCGAATTCTCTCCGATTTTGCACTCAACCGTTTGTAACAAAATGATTTTAAATCATGTGTCTCGGCTGCGCTCTCCCCCTCGTGGCGTCGCCAGCGCGAGCATCTCGCCCCGCGGCGCCCTCTCCAGGATCCGCCTCCCCTCGCCGAGTGAGGCCGCGTGCCTCTCGCGCAGCGCCCTTGTCGCCTGCCGCAGCGGCGCCCCCAGCGCGTCGAGCGCCTCGGCCGGCAGCAGCGCGCCGTGCCGCACCTGCCGCAGCGGTGGACCCGACAGTAAGCGGACGGCCGAGCAGAGACACCACCTGCTTGTGGTGGGTGTGGCGGTGTGGCGTGGCTTCGATCATTACCCCCCCCACACACCCACCCACCCACCCACCCACCCACCCACATAGTGACCCCCGTGAGTGCTGTCTGGAGCGGCGCCTGCCCATGCGTAGCGGTCGTCGCGTTGCCCTCGTGCCGGTACCGCTCGAGCCTACGAGCGTGACACGATTGCGGTGGCGCGCGCTGCGGCCGCCTCAACCACCCCACACCGCTGGCCTGTCGAGCTCGCCGAGCACCAGCGCCTACTCGGGCAGAGCTCGCGTCGTGGATGAGCCGAAGGGCCGGTGCGGCGTGGCGTTGCCGGGGTGAGTGTATGCAGGCGCGCGCCATCGCGACGTCCCGCCGGCCGTTGTGCGCCTGGCAGAGCTGCGAAAAGGTGCGCGCGCCGACGGGGCGGAACTCGACCGTGCCTACACGGCAAGGGGCACGGCGAGGCCGCGCGGCTGGAGGGAAGAGCTCCACGCCTCGGCTCCGCCCGCTCCGAGCTCCGCCGCACCGAGAGCGCGCTGCGCCGCGTCGTCCTCCGCCAGCAGCCGCGCGAGCGACGCTGCACGAGGAAGGATAGGAGCTGTGAGAGGAGGAGCGGTGAAATGGAGACGCGAAAAGGAGCCCTCTCTGGTGCTCTGCGGGAGCGTCCAGGATGGGCGCTGCGGTGGCCCTGCCCGGTGTCTCGTGTCTCGGAAGTGTGCCCCTCGCCTGCCTCCCGCCGCACCAGGAAGCCCTCCTCCACCAGCGCCACGCGCAGCGGCGGCGCCGCCGGCTCAAACTCGCGCCTCTGCTTGGCGTAGTGCAGCAGCGCGCGCAGGTTGTGGTTGGTGACGCGCGACCCGCTCCACACGACCAGCCGGCTCCGCGCCACGCCGAGAACAGCAAGCGTGCGGCCGAGCAGCAGCGGCTCACCACCCTCGGCGGCGGCCTCGGCAGAGGTGAGCCGCTCGCGCCGCCCGCCGGCCAGGAAGAGGTCGGCCGACGGAGCCGCCGCCGCCAGGCGGGCGAGTACGGGCGCCTTGTGCAGCACGTCGTACCAGTTGCCGCTCACCGCCAGCAAATCGGGCGGACTGAGGTGCGGAGAGCGCTTTGGACAGGCGGCACAGAGGCGACCAGCCGGCACGGAGGCGAACCATGGCTGCGGCGAGCGGAGGAGGGAGAGGACGTCGTCGAGGGTGCGCCATTCGGCGGTGCTGAACTCGGGAGATGCCATCGCTCTGACGCGTCCTCTCCTCCTGTCGCGCCCTCGTTTTATACCGGGTAGCCGAGAGAGGGCGAAAATAGAGGCGCGAGACTGCCGGCTTTCTCGGCGCTAACCCTAGGGGAAATCGCTCCGGAATAGGGTTCCCGGCACCATCGGGCGGCGCCACACGGATGGAGGGAGTCGGGTTTGCCATCGGCGGGCCGTGAGGGCGCTGAGAACTCAAGGCTGAGTTTTCGCTCCCACTTTCGATGTGTCGGAGTATGCGAGGACGGCCCGTTCTGCCCGTTCTCGGGCTAGTCAGCAGATCTAGCGCAGAGAGGGCGATGAGGCGGAGGCACGCCGCAGCGGCAGGTGCAAAGAATTGGTATGAATAAGCGTATCAGCCGCTATACACACGAAGTTGTCACGGCTACCCTTTGAGTCGGTGTTCGTCTCGGTGGCGAAAATCGGTCTACCGCCGCCACGCGATTGCGCGCGCGCGAGGGCTACTCGAGACAAGCTTGATGGCCTCCGCCGCTCCTCCTAGTCTGATCCGCCTCTCCTCTAGCGCGGAGGGCCTCATCTCGCCGGGGAGAAGTGCGGTGATCCGCCTACCTAGAAACCCAAACACAGGCGGCGACGTGGCATACGAGCTCGTGGTGAAGGAGGCGGGCACACGTGCCGAGCCCAAGGACGCACGCGAGAAGCAGCACCACAGACAGAGCGATGACGATGATGATTCAATAAATAAAACCAAACAAGGGGTGGGAGAAGGACAGGGTCCCCACCTGCACGAGCAGGCAGGATCTTGTACTCGAGTAAGGACGATCAGGCAGGGACACAGGGGAACGGGAGCGGGGAGCGCATCGCGACACGGAGGGGGGCTGGGCAGGGCTCACCCAATTCCCCTAGAACTCGGAGAACTACGTTCTTTCATCCGCCAGTCCCGTGTCCAAACCTATTCGTTGAGTCGCTGTTGTCGCCTTGAGTCGCTGTCGGTCTGAGTTCCGAGAGTGAGAGCCGGTCCAAAGACTCACTGCTCGCCAATAGCAGCGCCAACAAGAGCAAGAAGAACAAGCTCTCTCCAACAGGCGAGCGACACCCTTGCAAATCTCCCTCGCCCCAGCAATCTTTCGCCGAAAACACCCACCGCCTTGTGAGTCCCTTGTCGGCGGGCTGCTCGCCTCGGTCGGGGATGCCGCGAATCGGTCATCACAACCCCCCCTCGCCAGTTGCTTCCAGCATGGTCGGCAAAAGGAGCACCGACAACATGACGTCCTGGACTCCGGAGGAGGACCGCAAAATCCTCCAGCTGTTTGCACTTGAGGCGCGGCCGCCGTCGAAACGCCATCACTCTCGCCCAAGTATTTGAAGATTCTGCCCCGTCTCTCACCCCCTGCATCTCCCCATTCCGCAGGGTCGTAAATGGGGCCGCATCGCCGACGGCCTCACCAACCGCAGCCCGGCGTCCGTTCGCAACCGCTACCTCAGAATCGAGCTCGGGCAGCAAGCGCGACGCCTCGGCCTCGCCAAGAACCGCTGCGCCGCATGTGGGCAACCCAAGCTGGGCCACGTGTGCTCGGTGAAGACCTCCGGCTTCTCGCGCGCCGCCTCTCTTCTCACCGCCGTCCGCCCGTCGGGCCCGAATTTTCGCCGCTCGGCTGCTGCGCCGCCGATGCAAACCACGCAGACGCTGCCGCACGTGAAGCCGCTGGTCCTCAGCGTGCCGGACCCGGCGTCGCCGCTCTCGCCCTCGTCGCCGCTCTCGCCCCCCACTTCGCTGCCGCCCGCCCACCCGCCGCCCGTTTTGCGAGCCTTCGCGTATGCCATTCCCATCGGCTGGCTGCCGATCCAACCGAGCATGACCTCGGCGAGGGCGGCCCCCGCCCCTCCGCCCACTGCCCCTCCGCCGCTCGTACGGCTGCCGACGGAGCCGGTCCTACACCCGCTCACGACGGCGCACTCTGTCTACTACGCGCGGCTGGCAGAGGCGGGCCCGGACATCTGATCGCACTTTGCATGTGTGTGTCCGTGGGGCGAGTGGCATCGCATGTCTCTTCTGAGACTGACACAGTCTCGAGTCTGTGGGTCTCTCTCTCTCTTTGAGTATGCGCATGTGCATGTCCCTCACGTTCCCTCATGCTCATCACAATTTTAATACAGCTTTGGGCGCCGGAGAGGCGCAAGAGACCCACTGCCCTCGGCTCACCTCCGTCAAAAGCGCAGTACGGTACTGCATAGAGTAACCACAGAAACCTCACACCGCTCGCACCGCGGGCCGGGACGTAAACGCGTAAGGCAAAGCAAGTGCTACTACTTAGCACGGCTGCCGCCCGAGTATGCTTCGGCTGGGGCGCCGTACCCGCCCCCTCCAGGGGAGAGCACCCGCAGCCGCGCGCCCGCCTCGACGCGGACAAAGGCCTTGCCACCGAGCGAGACGGTGGGGCCGGCGCCTCCTCCCGCGGGCAGCAGCAGGTTCTGCCCGCGCACGCCCGGCTCGCCACCGGCGAGGCCGTATGGGGGCACGGCGCGGCGCTCGGAGAGGATGGACACGTCCGTCGGGCGCAGAAACTCGATCTCGCGCACGACGCCGTCGCCGCCGCGGTGCGCGCCGCCTCCGCCCGAGTGGGCGCGGAGGGAGAAGGTGCGCAGCACGACCGGGTACCTACTCGACACACGACTCCGCTCACGTGTCTCCCTTCTCTACGGCGGGGCGTTTCGGCCGTCGGTGCCTCCGCTCGAGGACCTCGGGGTCGGTGATGCGCGTGTTGGTCATGTGCGTGTGCACGCCCGAGCGGCCGTCCCAGTCGGGCCCGGCGCCCGCGCCGCCGGCGATGGTCTCGTAGTAGCCGTAAGTCTCGTCGCCAAAGGTGAGGTTGTTCATGCAGCCCTGAGAGGCCGCGCACGCGCCAAACGCCTGCGGCGAGATGACGCGAGATGACCCGAGGTTGTCCGAGATTGCCCGAGATTGCACGCGTCAGGACGCCTTGAGGACGACGTCCACGACGCGCTGCGAGGTGAGGACGTTCCCGCCGACGACAGCGGCGGTCTCCCCGGGGTTGAGGAGGCAGCCTACGAGGACACGCGTCCGGGACGTGTCCGGGACGTGTCCGGGGAAGGACGGGCCCTGGCGGCGGCGAGGGGCTGCCCTCAGGGAGGACGAAGGTGACTGGCGCGAGGCAGCCCTGGTTGAGGGGCATGTCGGTGTCGCAGAGCGCGCGGAGCGAGTAGATGACGGCCGAGTACGTGACGGCGCGCGGCGCCTGTTCACGGACAGAGTGTGGACACAGACGCTGTCCACGGTGCAACGAGCACGCGACGGCGCACGGCGCGCGTTCAGGTTCGAATAGCTCTGTGGCGAGGTGCCGGAAAAGTCAAAGGTGGCGGATCCCGCCGCCGCGTCAATGGTGACCGCGAGCCGGATCTCCGAGCCGTCGTCGAGCTGGTCGGCCGCGGTGCAGACGCCTAATCTCCGGCGATCTCCAGTCCTCTCCCGTGACTTCGCGTCTGTCCAGCAGCCGGCCGGCGCGCAGGCGCCGTTTGCGCCAAGGCCGGCTCGGGCGGCGAAGGCGCGAAGCATTGCGCGGACCGTCGCCTCTGCGTTCGCCTGGATGTGGTGCATGTAGCTGCGGACGGCGGCGAGCGACGACTCGGCGGCGAGGGAGGCGAGGAGGCGCAGCCTGGTCACAGCGCGGGCCGTGAATGAGGCGCCCTTCGCAGCTGCGGCGGCAGGGAGGGGGCAAGCGGCTGCAGGCCCCATCTCGTTGGCGGCCACCTGAGCCTTGAGGTCGGAGAGGTTGTCGGTGAGGTTGCGGCTCTTGGCGAGGATGGAGCGCACGCCCTCCTCCTGCAGCACTCCTACCAAAAGGTGTCGGTGACGGTCGCGGCGAGGACGGGGCGCAGCGGCCGATCCGTCCCGCCGCGCACCACGCGAGACGAGCCGGAACCCGACGATCCGCGCGCCCTCCTCGGAGAGCGAGTGGGAGAAGGGCGGCATCGAGCCGGGCGTCGCGCCCCCGATGTCCGCGTGGTGCCCCCGCGAGGCGACCCAAAAGGCGGGCGCGTCGCCGTCGCCGGGCAGAAAGGCAGGCGTGATGACGGTGAGGTCGGGCAGGTGCGAGCCGCCGGCGGTGTGCGGGCAGTTGGAGAGGAAGACGTCGCCCGCGTTGATGTCGCCCTCCCACCGCCGCTGCTGCAGCTGCACGGCGTCCTGCATCGCGCCCAGGTGGACGGGGATGTGGGGCGCGTTGGCGACGAGCCCGCCGGAGGCGTCGAAGAGCGCGCACGAGAAGTCGAGCCGCTCTTTGATGTTTGTGGAGACCGACGTGCGCTGCAGCGTCCGCCCCATCTGCTCAGCGATGCCCATGAAGCGGTGCGAGTAGAGCGACAGCTGGACCGGGTCCGCATCGCCGCTCGGCGAGGGGGCGCCCTCCGCCGGCGCCGCCTCCGCCCCCCGCTGCGCCTCAGGGCCGGTCCGCGTCTCGCCTCGTGCGCCCTTCCTCGGCCGCACCAGGATCTCGAGGTGGCCCGTCGCCGTGACTGTGGCGGTGCAGTTCGGCTCGACCACCACCGTCGAGATGTCGTCCAGCAGCAGCGCCGGCCCCTCGAGGACGTTGCCCGGCGCGAGCGACTGCAGCGAGTACGAGGGCGTCTCCTCCCACCCGCTCTCAAAGTAGGTCCGGCCCACGCTCGTCGGCGGCGGCAGCGCGCCGCTCGCCGCCGCAGTCGGCGCCGCGGGCGCGGGCGGGGAGAGGCCGGTGCCGCGCACGCGGATGTCGTCGATCAGGACGGGCCGCTCCGCAAAGGTGAAGCCAAACTCGCGCCGGTGCTGCGCCTCGAAGGCGGCGGCGTACGCGCCGCCGCCTGCCGCCGGCTCCGAAACCATGATGGCGGTGTCGGTGCCCGCGTAGCGCAAGTTGAGGAAGCGATCCGTCCGCAGCAGCGGCGGCGCGAAGCCCTGCGCGGCCAGCTGCTCCTCGACGGCAGCCGCCAGCGCAGCGTGGCGCACGGAGACGCGCTCGGCGGCACCCGGCTCACCGAGCGTCAGCGCGGCCGCCTCCTGCTTCTCGACGACCACGTCGGCGAGGGCGATCCCCACCGCGGACAGGATGGAGGCGTGCCGGTGCACGTACACGCGCGTCATGCCGAGCGAGCGCGCGACGGCGCACGCGTGCTGGCCTCCCGCGCCGCCGAAGGAGGCGAGCACGTGCGCCGCCGCGTCGTGGCCTCTCATCTGCGTCATCTCGCGGATCGGGCGGCACATCGCCTGTGGGACGTGTCTCGGACATGTCGCGGACGTGTCCCGGACTCGTCCTCTCGCGGAGCGGCGCGACCGCCTCGTTGGCAACCTCGAGGAAGCCGTGCGCGAGCTGCTCGACACTCATCCTCCGAGGGGGCGCGCCGGCGGGCGATGTCGCCTCGTAGAAGGGGTGCACCTCGCCGCTCAGCATCGCCTCGAAGGCGGCGCGCGTGCCTGAAAAAGAAGGGGCGCCAGCCTGGCGATCAACAGAGAGCCGCGACGGGCGCGCGGCCTCGAGGCCCTCGAGCTAGAGCGGCTCGCCCTCGTTCGCCAGATCTCGGCCAGATCTCGGCCAGAGCTGGCCAGAGCTCGGCCAGAGCTCGGCCAGATCTCGGCCAGATCTCGGCTGCATGCGTGCCCTCGACGTCGAGCGGCTGGTCCTCGTCCGGGCCGAAGATGCGCGGGAAGTGCTCCGGCCGGATGCGGCCGAGGAGGAGGTTGGCGTCGGTGGTCGCCAGCTGGCCGCCCTTGCGGTAGCAAACCTAGCAGCGAGATGGCGTCGGGGGTGGAGAGGAAGAAAGCCGAGGCCCGAGCCCGCCCCGCGCGGCGGAGTACCGGCCCGGGGTGCGCGCGCACAGACTGCGGCCCGACGGCGAGCCGCCCCTCGCGGAAGAAGAAGCGCGAGCCGCCGCCCGCCGCGACGGTCTTGATGTCGAGCTGCGGTGCCTGGATCGTGACGCCCGCCAGCCGCGCCTCGAACACCTGCTCGACGCTGCCCGCGTACCTCGACACGTCGGTGGAGGTGCCGCCCATGTCGAAGCCGATCACAGGCGGGCCGCCTGGCGTGTGCGCTGTCTTCGCGTACCCGATGTACCCTCCCGCGGGGCCCGAGAGGACGGCGCGGAAGCCGCAAAACGAGTCGGCGGGCGCGAGGCCTCCGTCGGACTGCATGAACGAAATCTCGACCTTGCTGATGTCGTCGTCGAAGCCCGCGACGAAGGACGCGAGGTAGGCCTTGATGTGCGGCGTCAGGTACGCGTCGGCGGTGGCGGTGTATCCGCGCGGCACCAGCTTCACCATCGGCAGCGTCGAGGAGGAGGTGGTGACTTGGGCAAAGCCGACCTCGCGCGCCAGTGCCGCCACGGCCTCCTCGTGCTGGCGGTATGTGTACGCGTGCATCAGCACCACCGCCACCGCCTCGACTCCGGACGCCCGCAGCGCAGCAAGCTTGCCCCGCAGCGCGTCCAAGTCCGGCTCCCTCTCGATGAGCACCTGGGGAGATGTGGGGAGATCTGGGGAGATATGGGGAGATATGGCCCTCCTGCAGCTCGGCTCCCTCCCGAGGCGCACCTGCTCCCCCGTCTCGCCCCGCACGCGCCGCAAGCCCCGCCGCGCCGCCGACTCTTCGCCGGGAGGCTCGCTCTTCGCGAGCACCACTCGCTCGTCCACCTCCACCACCGCCTCGTACAACACGCCCGGGCAGCGGACCCGGAGGTCAAAGATGTCGGGCCTCGCCTGCGACCCGATGTGCAGCACGTCGGCGAAGCCCTTGCTGACGAGGAGCGCCGTGCGCGCGCCGTCACGCTCGAGCAGCGCGTTGGTCGCCACCGTCGTCCCCATCCGGATCCACTCGATCCGCGAGGAGTTCAGCCGCTCGCCGCGCGGGTGCGGCACGCCGGTCGCCGCCTCGAGCACTCTCCGGATCCCCTCGCGCGGCGCGTCCGGGTAGTTGGCCGGGTCGACCGACAGCAGCTTGACGCAGCGCGGCACCGCCTCGCCCGGGCAGAGCGCGTATACGTCGGTGAAGGTGCCGCCGCGGTCGATCGAGAAGCGGAAGCCCGAGGCGTTGCGACCCTCGGCGCCACCGCCGCCGGCATCGCCACTGGCGGCACCGTCTGAGCTGGCGGCAGCAAGAGCAGAGACGAGAGACTGTTTGAGTTCGCCCTTGTCGCGAAAGGCCCGCAGCCGTTCGACGTTGCGCTTGGAGATGCGCCGTTTCGCCACATCCCTCTCGCTCTCCTCCATCCGCTCCCAGTTCGTTATCCGCGAGAGGGTGCCGTCGCTGTTGACGACGACAGGGCCGAGGGCGTCTATCACAACGGGTTGGCCCGTCGCCACATCGAGCGTGATGTGGCGGTCGATGTCCTCTGGCGCCTGAAGGGTCAACATCTGTCTGCTATAGCCGCAGCCACTCCCAGCTACTCGGTGTGAACAGAGTTCGTACACCGAGCAGCAGGGAGCCGAGGAGCAGGAACCGAGCAGCAGACTCGAGAGGCTCCTCGGTGTTCACAGCCTTGTTATTGAGAAGAAAATACCTCCTATGGCGCTGTGCGCTGGCCTGTGAGAGGTTCACAGCGGAGTGGCTGGGAATCGTGCACAGCCATGTTATTGAGAAGAAAATACGCCCCATGGCGCTGTGCGCTGGTCTGTGAGAGGTTGAGGTGCGAGCCCTGGAGGCCCTGGGGATGGGGGGAGACTACCCGCGGGCGGGCCTATAGAAGGCTGCGGGCCCACGCGCAGGGGGGTGGGACATTGAGACCGGTCATGAATGAGTGCGCGACACGCATGTTGCGAGCAGCGTTGTTGATGTTTTGCGCATCGCCACAGACGGCGGCGCGAGACTGCTGCCGCCGCGCCGTCAGAACAAAAGGTCGACCAGCCCACCAAAGACGGCGGGATGCCGACCTCCGGCGTACGCACCCTCGCAAAAATCATCGCCGAGTCGCGCAGCTCCGTCGCGGGTTCCGCAAAAAGCCCTAATAAGGGCTCGCCAAACAGGCGGCAGGTTGGAAAACCAGGAAAGTTCTCGGAGCGCCAACAGTCGCAGAGGAGCGAGTGACCAGTCCGGCCCGTTTTCGAAGGCTGCTTGGCTCTCGGAGAGAGGTGAGCGCGTCGACCGTCCACGAGACCGTAAGTTCATAGGTGGGGGCAGTGCTGGAAGTGGGTGCCATGTGGTGTGGCTGTGGGGCAAAGCGCTCGGAGCCCGGTGCCCGCGCGCGCTCGATAGACGCGTGAGGCTGCGCTGCGCAAGCACGGGCGGGAGGGGTTTCTCCTGCGGAGTCGTGCGTGCGCGGGGCTCCTCTTTCCGAATACTCGCCCTACACATACACAGGTCTCGTATATACACCCCCGTGGTTCTACCAGAGAAACGCGTGATATAGAGGCAGCGAGAGGGTCTCGCCGAGTCGGGCATGTGGGTGAAACACATGGTGTGCGCGGATACGTATCTTATTTCACCCGCTCGCGGAGGTACATGCTTAGTAGCCTAAACCCGTCACATTCACACTAGTCTACACTCCTCTCAACTCTCCGCCTTTACCGTTCGACTCGTCCACCACACGCAAAGTCTCGCGCCGCCGTGACACCTGGTGGAGCGTGTCGTCCTCGACGGAGGCATGCGCCGCGCCCGTCATAAGCAGCAGCAGGCAAGCGGCAAAGATCATGGCGAGCAAAGCATTGCGCCGCGTCCAAAAGCGAGTTGGCGGCGCTTCTCTTTTATGACGCCCTTCGAGGCGCGCAACGGCAACTTCTATCGGCTCCACAACCACGTCGACAGGCGACGCAGTCGCGCTGCCTCTGAGCATGAAGCAGGGGCGCTGGCGGGAGTGCGTTTGCGGCGGCGCGGTCGGGCTGGCAGGCTCAGCAGTGAGAAAAAGAATTTCAGGCCGGCAGAAAAGAATCATCGGAACCCTCCTTAAAATCTCTCTGTGGTGGCGGCGTGCCGTCCTCCCATCCCTCCCTTGCGTGTGTGCCTTCTTTCTTTCTTTTTCATCGGAACTCAAGGTCTCTCACAGCACACTGGCACAACAAGGGCGCGGACTGGCGCGGACTGGCACACACACCGGCACACCGTCGGAGCCGCCTAAGAGAAAAAGATTTTTCCCCTCGGGCTTGTCACACAGCACGCTCTGCGAGCGGGGCGGGGCGCGCACTGTGCCTCTGTGTTCCTGCGTCGCCCATCTCTCCTGGATATGCCTGCTCTATTTATTAGCACGATTCACGCGACAGACAAGGCGCGTACAGGCAAAAATAAATAAATAAAACGGACACCTCTACTAGGAGATGGGTAAAAAAGACAGGTCCCCGCCCTGCGGTCTTTGTGCAGGGTTCTTTGTGGCGTACAGGCAAGGCGCGGGCGACGTCGCCACCCCCTCCCTCGCCACCTCCTCCCTCGCCGTTTCTCCCCTTGCCGCCTCCTCCCTCGCCGCCTCCTCCTTCGCCGCCTCATCCCTTGCCGTCCTCGCCGCCCCCTCCCTCGCCATCTCCTCCCTCGCCGCTTCCTCCCTTGCCGCCTCATCCCTTGCCGCCTCCTCCCTCACCGCCTCCCCTCTCGCCTCCTTCCCCGCCGCCTCCTCCCTCGCTTCCTCCTCTCTCGTCTCCTCCCCCCTCGCCGCCTCCTCTACCTCCTCCTCCCTCGCCGCCTCCTCCCTCGCCGCCACCTCCCTCGCCGCCTTTCCCCTTGCCGCCTCCTCCCTTGCCACCTCCTCCCTCGCCGCCCCCCCCCCTCGCCGCCTCCTCCCTCGCTTCCTCCTCGCTCGCCGCCTCCTCCCTTGCCGTCTCCTCCCTCGCCGCCTCCTCCCTCGCCTTCGCCTCCACCCTCGCCGCCTCAAGTAAGCTGCTCGCCGCGGAAGCTGCTCGACAGGTGCCTTGCAGCTACGTATTCTCGTATTATCTTCGAGTAAGGCGTCTCGCAGCTGCGTATTCTTGTATTCTCGTCGATTAGTGTAGGTACTGCGTGGGGGCGGTACGTATTCCCGTATCACGTATCACTAGCTCCGAGTAGAGGGGGCGTCCTTGCAGTTAAGGGGAAACCTGGTACGCGGGGCTAACCCTCGGAGAGTATTCTTTAGCTCCGAGTAGAGGGGGCGTTCCGCAGCTAGGGGGACCCACAGCGCGAGGGAAAAATTCCGCCGCTGGGGGAACCCCGGAGCGCAGAACCAACCCTCGGAGACCCGTGTTATGGCCCTGCGAACGCGCACCCCCCCCCACGGTCGAGGAAGAGGGTGCGTTCTGCAGTTAAGGGGTAACCCGGTACACGGAACCATCCCTCGGAGACGTGTTATGGCCCTGCGACCGCGCACCCCCGGGGCTAGGGCTCTCTTGCCCGCAACCCGATGCCAATCATCCGGCCCGCTGGGTGCGCTTCTGAGCTCCCCGGCCCTGGATGTGCGGTTGATGACTGCACTCCAAGTGCTCCAAGGGCGCCGGTGAGGACGAAGCAGAAACTAGCGCAGACGAGAGCAGGGCAGAGCCGGGGACTGGGGAGCCGGAGCAGACGGCATCGACCGCCGAGGGAACGTTGGGAAGAGGCACGAGGAGGGCGGCGACCTCAACCGACTACGTATATGGAGGACCCGTCACCAGACGACGCCCTGGGCAGACGACGGTGAGGCGGAGCAGTCGCGCAGGGCGAGACGAGGGAGGGAGCAGGACGTTGCGGAGATCAGCAGGAGGATGTACGAAGAGATTAGGAGCAGCAGGAACCCGAGGGACCATGTGGAAGACGGCTAGTGCTAGTCCCCCATCGCGGGAGGACGACCCCGGCTAGTCGCCGACCACACCCACAAAGAACCCTGCACAAAGACCGCAGGGCGGGGACCTGTTCCTTTTTACCCATCTCACAGTAGAGGTGTCCGTTTTATTTATTTATTTCTCCAATCGACGCTAAGCGCCATACCGAAGCTGTCCCTTCCTTTGCGCTCAGGAAGCTGTCCGCTTCCTGGAGAGCGCCACCAGAAGGAGGCCGAGCCTGCCCCGCTCACGCGCCGCGGATGCCGCTGCCCAGCCAGTCCGCCTTGCTCGCGGCCGCCTGCTCCGCCTCGGAGCGCTTCGCGCCGGTCTGCTCGACCGGCAGCCCGATCAGACGCAGCCGCGCGATGACCGTCTCCTCCTCGTTGCCCATGTTGCCGGGCACGAAAATGGTGAGCTCGCGCACCGTCTGAGCGGCAAGTCCAGGGAGGGTTGCGAGCCTCCACACGACACTCGGGAGTGGACCAGCGGCGAGAGGCAGTCTGGGCCAGGGGCGTGGGGTGTGGGGAGAGCCTCCTGTCGCTGCGAGTGTGGGCGACGCCCGCGGAGCTGACAGGGCGCCGCTCTGAGATCGCAGCTCTCGTGCTGTGGGACCGTACGATAGGGCGCCGCAATGCTCGCTGCGGCGCCCTGGTATATTGCGGTCCGTCGCTCCGTGCGTCGCGAGCGGCGGTCAGTGGAAGGCGGGTGATCCAACCTGAAAGTGGACAAAGCGGAGCTCGACGGGCCGCCCTTCGCGCGCGACGTCCGCCGGCGTGAGGGGCAGCGTCTGGGTCGGCGCGTTTGACCTGCCGCTGTCAAAGTCGAGCGGCGCCTGCCGGCACGGCGTGGGCAGCCGCTGGCATGAGGGTGGCACGCAGCGGCAGACCGGCCCGCAGCACTCGGGCTTCGGTACGGTGTCGTGATAGGAGGGGAGTCGCTCACAGGCGGGTTGGCAAAGATGCGCAGCTCGGAGGGCGCGCTCGCGGCGGGTCCGGCGACGACGATGGCCGAGAGCCGCACCGCCTGAGGTGCGGGAGAGCGGGTCAGCATATGTAGGGTGAAGCGACGAGGAGGCCGCCTCGGCGCACGCCTGCATGAATCTGAGCGAGATTAGCAGCTCCTCGTCCGCGTCGCTCTGCAGGAATCCCTCGTCGGAAGGTGTGAGAGCAGACCGAAGCGTGTGATCCTTTGCGGCGTTTAGGCACTCGCACTGAGGCAGCCTGGCGCCAGCAGAGGAGGGTCAGAGTGTCAGCACGGTGGGCGGCAGGGCGGCGCGCGCACTCGAGCTGCTCGAAGAGTGGGCGGCAGGGCGGCGCGCGCACTCGAGCTGCTCGAAGAGTGGGCGGCAGGGCGGCGCGCGCACTCGAGCTGTTCGAAGAGGTCGTAGTGAGATAGTTGGGCCGCCATTTTTGGTACCCGGGTATGGGTGGCCGCCTCTCAGCCTATTCCTACTCTGCGCACTAGACTACCTCCTGTATCGGGGTTATGGGGGGTTTACGAGGTGTGAACGTGAACAGAGTAGCCAGATCGCTGTCGATCGTTACGGCACGCATGGGGGGCCTCCCGGACGTATGATCCTAGCCCAATAAGCGCCACGGAGCAGATTTGGATTTTTGACAGAATTAAATGCACTGCCCCCGCACGGTACTAACGATCGTAGTTTTGGGGGCGGCGCCCCTCACGGCACCACACTGACGCCGGACAGCCCGAGATTAGCCTAGCAGTGAGTGGGAATCGCCTGCCGGTCGGCTTGGCATGAGCCAAGCACTTGGGTGGCCGTCAACCGAGTCCGAGCGGCGCCTGAGGTGGGTGCCACGGCGTCCGCACGAAGGCGTGGCGGGGTGAGGAGCCAGGGGTGGTGAACACCTCCCCGACGGGCGCGCGGCGCGCCGGATGGTCCGCCGAGGCCGCCGCCGCCCCGGCGGCGGCGATGGGGGCGGCGGCGCCGACCCGGCCGGCGTTTGTCGGCTCCACCTACAGAAGAGCAGTCTCTGTGGGTCGACGATACTAACTCGGTAGTAACGCTGAGCGGTGCTGTGCGACGCCGCGTCGTGCGCGAGGCGACCTCCTGAGGCTACCTGAGCTGGCAATGGATGCCACCAGGACGCACGGCTAGCAGGAGCCAGTCGGGCATGCCCTGCTGTGGAGCAGAGCCTGCTGGCGCACCGGCGATACTAACTCAGCGCGCCGCGAGAGGCGAATCTGGGCGACTTTGGAGGCGCAGTTCTCGAGGTTGCCGTCGACGATTGATGTCGGGTAACTTGTCACTGCCGTCCGGGAAGCTCTTCTCTCAGCAGGCCGAGCGCCGTGGCATCGCGCGGCTCGCAGCGCTGTCGCGGCGCCGAGAACCCCCAAAACTCGCGAGACCTCGATACTAACAAAGACTACGATACTGGAGGTAGTATGGGTTTTACGAGTACTTGCTTCAGCTACGACCTACGTGCGTGAATGGGAGGTGTGATGCAAAGCCCGGAGGAGCGCTGACAGCCATCGAAGGCCCCCACGGGGCGGTCCCGGCCGAGTCATGGCCGTCCGCGGACGCGGCCCTCCGTCTCCAGAGACATTACCGAACTCAAAACTGCTTACCAAAAGGCAGATACGGAGCTCAGCTCAGTGAGATCTAGCAGCACATACCCTCAGTATCCAGAATAGTGAAGTCTGAAAAAGTCGGTCCGACCGCGCAGAGGCCCAGAGCGGTCTGGCTGTCTGCAGAGCTTCCGTCCGAGCCCTGAGAAATGTCGGAGGCATGTCGTGGCCCATGTTCGCGATTTTGATGGCGTTGCCCTTATTGCACGTGAAACAGACCGCGCCGGCCACGCACCCTTGTTCCCGGAGGCCAACTCGAACAGGTTTGAGCAATGGCCGCCTTCCATGCTCGATATATATGCAGCAGGAGCTTAGTTGACCCTCCTCGAAGGCCGCCCTGCTCTAAGCACTAGGGCCGCCCTGCTCTCGGCATTGCGTTGTTGACTGATTAGCACTGTCTGATCCAACCAGAAAGAGCCGTCGAAGAGCCGTCGAGCTACATGAGACCCAAGCAAGTCGTCGTGATGTACCAGAAAACGAAAACTAGCGCCAAAATTGAGATCTCAGGATCGACATTAATTTCCCGCGCCTACTTTTGCTGCTTGAGACTCGCCAAATAGATCCTGCGTCTATGACCGTGTGCAGCGTCAAGTCGTGAACCGCGACAAGACCATCGCGCCAAAACCGCGCGACACTCTGTTGCTTTATGCGGCAGCATTCACCCGTGACTCTTGCCGTGGATGGTTAGTGACCGCAATACTACGCCGTGAACTGAGCTTCACCAGCCGTTTCTCTTCCTTCCCTTGCCTTCTCTTGCCGTCCGTTCTCTGTGCGCATTCCACTGCATGCGGCATCACACGCGTCTTCTGCCGGGCGCGCATCTGAACTCGTACCAGGTAGGCCATCGCTTTGCTGAAAGATCAGGCGCCTGAATGGCGACAGTGAGCGTCTCCTACTTATGGATTGCGCTCGAGGAAAGAGGAGCGCAGGAGCGCGCCGCAGGCGAAGCGATTTTTTGGCGGCAGCGGGCAGGGGCTGTTCCAGTTTATCTTGTGATCACGCGCGAGCCTGTGAATAGGCCCTGGAGGCCTCAACCCCCAACTAAAGGGTTGACGGGGGGTCTCAACCTTCAACCAGATGGTTGAGGGGGGGCCTCAACCCTCAACCCCTCAACCACCCCCGTATGAATTCTTCAACCTTTGTTCACCTCTTCCCTCCCCGGCCACGCGCGCGAACACCGCGCGCCGCCGAACACCGCGCGCAAAAAACATACATGCCGCTGTGCGCCGAATGCGACGAGAACCTGCCGCGCGACTGCTTCAGTGGGTCGCAGCTGAAGCGCAAGAGTGGCGCGGCGCGATGCAAGCAGTGCGTGTCGGCAAACCCAGATAATGACCGCAGGTTAGGTGTGTTGCCGCCAAATGCGACTGACAATGAAGCACTTCCCAAAGATTTGGACAAGGACCAGAAAGACATGACCTCGGACGAGCGCATCGCAGTGCTCAAGGCTGGCATGGCGGCGTTCGGCCTTGACGACGACTTCAACACTCCAGAGCTGAGGGCCACGATGAGCAAAATCTTCGAAGCTGTGGCGAGCGGCGGCTGCCACGATTCAATTCTTAACTTCGGCCGCGAAGCAGTCCAAAAGCAGCGTGCGCGTGAGCAACTGAGAGCCGAGCGAGCAGCCGCGCCAGAGGCAGAGCGCCCGCCCGCCCCAGCGCACAAGGCGGCCGCGCCCATTCCGACCCGGCCCCCTGTCGAGGTGCCGGGCCGCGGGCCGGGGCGCTGTCAATGAATGTGGAAATGTTTTTGTTAGCCATCATTATTAATGAAACTTCGACTACAAACCCTCGATCTCTCGACACAGCTAGAAAACGCTAGATATCGTAAGTTAGATATCGACACCGTGTACTGACGTATTTCAACGCAGCTGTCGCGCCTATTACTTTCAGGCTCCGCCTGGCGGCAAGAACCGCCCAAGCAATCAGCACGTGCTCGACAACCCACCAGACCCAGCTCGCAGCCCCGCGCCACCGCGATCCCCCGTGGACGCGCCGCGCGATGGCTGCGGCCGAGCGCGCGGGCGCGGCGTCGCGGATCATCTGCAGCCGGCCGAAGAGGGCCCACACGTTGGGCAGGCGCAGCTCGCATCCCGGCACCACGGAGCCCGTCTTGATCGCCTCCTTGCCGGTGCCGAGCCGTCGCAGCGACGCGGCGTCCAGAAAGTGGCGGTGGCCCGAGAAGAGTTGGTAGCCCGTCGCGAGCACGATGCCTAGGGCGGTCGGGCGGGGGAGGATCACAATCACCTTCGCCCTCGCCTCGGCGGCCGTTTGTCAGACGGCTCGCCGTCGAACGGCTCGGCGCTGCCGTCGGAGATTCCTTTTAGGCCCTCCCGCCGCACCTGTCCAGCAGTCCGGACCCGGTGCTACGGCCGGTGACAGTGTGCCTCGTGTCGGCTCCCGAGCCACTCGTGTGCAGCGTGTGTGTGCGTGTGGGCCGTCCATGGAGAAACAAAAAAGAAACAACTTTTCGCTGCATCCGGAGTCCGCGACAAGCTTCTCGCTCCGTCCTCATGCCTGCTCCCGGCCCCTCTGGGGCGACAACGGTCACCGTGACGCTGCCTGCGCTGATCGACGAGCTCAAGAACCACGTGTCCGCCGACAAGGCGCCCGAGCTCGATCGGCTCGTTGCGCAGGCGCGCGACAACCCAAAGGAGCAGGCCGCCGTCAAGCGGCGGATGGGCGAGTTGGCCACGAGGCAGCAGCTGACCGCGGCGGTCAACGCGCTCATCGAGCGCTCCGCCACGGCGCCCGTCCCCGCGCCCGCCCTCTCCTCCGGCGCCGACTCCTCCTCCCCCTCAGCCTCCGGAAGCGAGGCGGGGGGGAGCGGCTCCCTCCCTGCGGAGCTGCTGCCGCTGATCGACAGCCTGGACAAGGAGGACTTCCGCGCGTCGCTGATCCACTGCTTCCACTGCCGCACGCCCTCCTGCCCCGTCCCCGGCTGCGTCCCGCTCACCGCCAAGCTCGAGCGCCTGCACGCGCACGTCAGCAGCTGCACTGCCGCGCAAGCGCAGGGCTGCGCGCTGTGCCGGATGTGGGCGTACCTCAAGGACTACCGCGACGCGGTGGACCACAACTCGGCGGCCGGCGCCTCGCAGCAGGCCAACACGCAGGCTCGCCACCTCCCCGAGAGAGGGCGCCCGCGGCGCGGCGGCGCCTGCCAAACGCGCCTCGAGCCTGCGACACCACCGCTGCACCGCCTCCCCACCCCTGCCCGCGGCCACGAACGCCCTCTCCTGTTTGGCTCGAGCTGAGCGCAGCCCGCCGCCGCGCGTGCGCAGGCTCCGGGGCTGTGCCAGGCCCTCTACGTCGAGCCCCTCCTCAAGAGCTCGCAGCTGCTGCCGAGGTGCACAGGGCCCTCTCGCACTCTCACTGCCGCCTCTTTGGGACGCAGAGACGCGGGGGGGAGGGCCGGCCCTTGCCCGCACTCGCGTGTGGAGACGCCTCACCTCGCCGTACCATTCCTCAGGTGGAAGGACGGGCGGGTCGAGTGGGTGTCGCCGCGCGAGGCGCTGCAGCAGCTCGCTGAGGCACGAGACACCTCCGAGACACCCCCGAGACACCTCCGACACCTCCGAGACACACGTAGTCAGCTCTCCCCCCCCCCCCCCCTAAGCGCTTTTCGGTCCCCGCTCTCAGGTGACGAGGCTGCCAGGCGCTCCGCCGAGAGAGGAGGGCGGGGGTGGGGCCGCGTCGCGGCAGAAGCGGCGCAAGCTCGACGGCGGCGCGGAGGAGAGCGTGGACCCCGACCTTGCGGCGGCGTGGGACATGCCTGCTGCGGCGAGGGTCGGTGGTGCTCAGGACGAGAGCGGTATCCCGCCGCTCGCGGAGCTCGGTGCGATGGGCTCTCTCTCGGCGCTCGAGCAGCAGCTGGCGGATGCGCACGAGGGGAGGCTCGGCGCGGGGTTGCCGCTCGGTGACAGCGCCTCCTTCCGGATGTCGGGGCTGCCGTTGGCGAGCTCGCTCAGCTCGAACTTCAACCTCGAGTCGGTGCTCAAGGCCACCTCGATGACCGACCTCGGCCTCAACTTCCGCCGCTCCGCCTCCCAGCTCCGCGACAAGAACGTCTCCGAGCTCTCCCTCGGCTCGATCCTCGACCAGGGCGCGCCGCTCCGCCCCGCCTCCCCTCCCCCGCAGCCGACCCTGCCTCTGCCCTCGCACTTGTCAACCCTCGTCGTCCGAAGCCCTGCCCGCCCGAACCCTTCCCGCAGGCGGGAAGGACGAGCTCAACGACATCCTGTCCGAGTTTGACTCGCGGTGAGATGCGGAGAGGAGAGGAGGGCGCCGAGGCGCGCCGCCCGTGGTGGGCCCGAGGGCGCCGTCGCCACCCTGGCTGCGCTGTGGGTGCGATGGGCGGTCGGAATGGGTGCACCGGGCACTAGCATAGTGCGCACTCGACGCGCCGACCTCGCCGGCCGCTGAGCATGCGGAATGTGGAGCGTGGGCTCGCGGCTCGCTGGGAGCCGGGCCTGCGCAGGGAAATGGATGAAACGGATGGGGGAGGAAGGGGGGGGGGGGGGAGAGCACTGCTGTGTCTACTAGCGACGCGCCCGACCAATGACCGGCTCCCGCGGGCGTCGCTGCACTGTCGACTGACGCTGCCGTCTTACGTGCCTCTCCCACTTGACTGTGTCTGTGATTCTTCACTCATTGTGTGCGTCTGCCGCCTGTCCTAACAGAGAGGTAGAGAGTGGTGTGCTCCCCAGCGAGGCGGGGAGCACTCTCGCAGAGTCCATTTTCGTTGAGTATCCATCGCCGCAGCGAAAAATAAGGTTTTATTGAATAATTCAATTTGTCAAAACGCGAGGCAACGTGAAAAGAGAAAGAAGCTGGTTAAACTGCAACAGGTGTGCTGTGTGCAAGTGAGAGAGAGAGTCTGAGTGAGAGCGATGCCAGATTTCGCAGTTCTTAGCGGACTCTTGTGTGTGGAGCGCGGAGTCCGGAGAGATTCTGTTTTCAGATTTCACCGTTGCTCCCTCGCTAGAGACGCTAACATGTACGACTCGCTACGATTCGGGAGAGCTGAACCTGTAGAGAGAGAACTGTGTGAAGTCGAAAAGAGGAATGGGCGGGGAGGGCGTGTGGGCCAGCAGTATGTTAGGGCACGCATCCATGTGGATCGCCGGGCTCCTCCTCCTTGAAGAAGACACCGAACCGGCGCTTCAGGGCGCGATGGTACAGCCAGAGGTCAGCCGCGACGATGTCGAAGATCTGCTCGGGGAAGGGGGAATGCAGTGGAGCGTGTGGAAGGGGGGGTGGGGGGCGAGGTGAGGCGATTGGCCGCAGGCGGGCGACGACCTCTGGCGAGACGCGTGCGTCCTCATGCCTGCCGCACAAGGGAAACCGTTGATCTGGTGCGAGCAGACAGCGTCTGGGAGCTGAGGCGCGGCCTGTGCGCGTTTGCAACCACGTGCTTTTGCAGCCGCAGCCACGGGTCGCCCATCCACTCGCCTGGCATAATGAGGCACGAGCTGTCAGGGTGCGTGGGCACGCCTTGCGTAACCACCGTCTCCTGCTCGCCGAGCCGCGCCAAAGGGTAAGTATCGTGCAGGTCAACCTCGGTCAGCAGCACGAGAGTCTGCTCGTCCGCAAGCCAAGCGTCCGCCTGTCTCGAGCGGGCCGCTGCTGTGTGGGTTGCGTTGCGTGCGGCGTCTGTCACTCGCGGGAACAGGCGGAGGCCTCACGCCACGCCGCGCAGCTCTGGAGCCACCCTCGTCCGTTCCAACCCTCGGGCGAAGCGAGGGCCCGCAGGTAGTAGTTGCCTATCTCAAGAGAGCGGTCCGCCTTTGCGGCGAGAGGCAGAGCCGCGCGTCCCCGTTGGCGCTTGGCGACCGAAATACCGCGCGTATTCGACCATGGACATATTTGGGCACGTCAGCCGCTCCGGGTCCACCTTTGATGGCCGAGCGGAGAGGGGTGTTGCGATGGGCGCGATCTGCTTTGGTGCGAGGATGGGCTTGCCTTGCCGCATTGCCGGCCACCCTCCTCACAGCTGCGGCAAAAGTACGAGTAGGCGGAGAGGAGGCGCGAGATCGGGTGGCGCAGCAGCGTAAACTGACGGCACGGGCGAAACCAGTTGCGCTCGCAGAAGCGCGGCCGCACGCACGAGGCGTGCGAGCAGTAGCCCATCACAACATCCCGCCCCGGCACTGTCGTGCAGCAATGCCTGCGCGCAGTGCGGTGCGAGCTGAGACTGGGATGGTGCGAGGTTGTGGGTGCCCGGGCGCGCGCCCATCCGAGAATCGACGCTGCAGCAGCGCCGGGTCCTCGAGCATAGCGCAGTCGTACGGCGGTCCCGGCCGCCAGTCCTTGGGCATGTACTCGCACGGCATGTCGCCTGCAACAATACGCCACGCTCCTTTTTGACTATGCGGGTGCCCTCCTTTCTACGGAACGTCTCGTGCTATCTGGTTGCATGGCGTGCAATCTTCTCACCGTAATCGCCATAGGAGGGCCAGCCAAAGGTGCGCTCACGGGCTGCAAAGATGTGCCGGAGCGTCGTCGACCCTGAGGCAACGCTCAGCATTGTGATGCGAGGGTGTCGAGCGCTCTTGGCGGGGAAGGGATTGCGGGCCTGTCTTGTCAAAGGCTAGCATAAAATAGATCGGCTCGGATGCGCTTGGCGCTTGCTGCCGGCGCATGGCGAAGTCGGATCAAAGCCCAACTTCCGAAATTGCCAAGTGCGCCATCGAGTTTGTTGCGCTTAATTAAAAAAAGCGAGAAGCCTTGTTGATAGATCTAATCCCTCTGTTCCTTTGTAGTGCCAGTCCCGTGTGTACTTGTTACGTGAAAACCCGCTGGGACCCGGACGCCAGCACACACGGCTAGATTTCATGGCGGGCCGCCTAGGCCCTGGGGTCGGAGGTAGAGTCGGTGGTGGTGCCGCGCGCGGCGCGGGCCTCGCTGGCGGGGCCATCAAGGGCGGGGTCGGGGAAGGGGGGTGGGGTCGGTCGCGTCGGCAGCCGCGCGGCGGTGGCCGCGGGCCGGGGGGGCGGGAGGAGGCGGTGGCGCCGACCGCAATGGCGGCCGACCCGACGAGCGCCGGGCGAGATCGCGAGGGTCGAGGGTGAGCTCGAAGCCGAGGGCGGCGGCCGAGTTCTGAATGGTGAGGGCGTCGGCGGTGACGATGGCGGCGGAGATGGCGGCGGAGTGGGAGCGTGAAATTCTCTTCGAGAGGAAGCCGTCGCCGCCTTGCCGTTCGAGGCGAAAGCCCTCCGGCCTCTGCCCCCGCGGCCAGACAACCCGTGCGCCACCGCCAGCGCTTCATCCTCATGGGCGCAGTGCGGAGCCGATCGCTCCTCATCCTGGCTCAGCTCGCGGCATCCACAGCAGCAGCTCTGACCACGCCCGGCCGCCTCGTCCTTCTCCGTCACGGCGAGTCCGCGTGGAACGCTGCTGGACGCTTCACTGGTTGGTGAGAGCACTGTCTCCGAGACACTCTGCCTACACCGCCAATCCGCCACCTGCCAATCCAGGGGGAAGTAACCTTATTGGCTTACCACGGCGCCGTTCCGCAGGGAGGACGTCCCGCTCACGCCCCGAGGCGAGGAGGAGGCGCGCACCGCTGCCGAGCTGCTCCTCACCGAGGCGGGCGATGTTCGCATCGACACCGTGTACACCAGCGTGCTTGGCCGCGCCCTACGCACCGCAGGTCTCTGCGTCGAGGCACTCCGCCGGAACGGGCGCCCGCCGCCGCCGATCCTGCCGACGTGGCGCCTAAACGAGCGGCATTATGGGATGCTGCAGGCGTAGCCGCATCCCTGACGCAACCCTCCCTTCTGCGCTGCCGCGAGTCCTCGCCGCCCCCCTGCCCCTGCAGGGGCTCGACAAGCGCGACACGCTCGAGAAGTGGCCCGACCCAGCCGCGCTCCGCGAGTGGCGCCTCTCCTTTGCCGGGAGGTGAGATTTAGATGTGGCAAGCCCGCCCAGGCCGCCTCTGTGGTCCCCGGCTGACCAGCTTCCCACCGCTCACCCGGCGCCTCTGCCTCGCGCGGCAGGCCGCCTCCGATGGCGGCAGACCACCCCTTCTACAGCCGCTCGCCCGAGAGACTGGCGGCGCTGCGCACTGCCAACGCCGACGGCGACCCTCGTCGCTGAGAGAGGAGGCGCCTCTTGGTCGATGGCCCCTTCTCCATGACCCCTTCTCGGAGCCCGACTGTGCAGGCGGCTGCTCGAGACCGAGATTGTCCCCGAGATTACCCGAGATTAGTCGGAGCCCGGCCGCGCAGGCGAGCCGCTCCGCGACGAAGACGTGCCCCTCACCGAGTCGATCGCCGACTGCGTCTCGCGCGTGCGCCCGTTTTGGGAGAACGAGCTGCTGCCCGCGCTGCTGGACGGCTCCAGATGCCTCGTCGGCCACGCCGGCTCGAGATTACCCGAGATTACCCCAAAGATTACCCGGGATTAGGCTCCAACTGTCTCGTCGTCGGCCATGCCAACGGGCTGCGCGCCCTGGTGGCGTGCGTGCAGCAGAACGTCGACGACGAGAGCCTTCCGTCGCTCGGGCTCCCCAACGGCTTGCCGCTGATATACGAGCTCGAGCCCGACGGTGGCGTGTGCGGTGGCCACTGCACATGTCCAGGACACGTCCTTGACATGTCCGAGACTTGTATGGACAGGCAGCGTGCGGTACCCGAGCGAGGGGCGCTGCTACGTGCCGCCGTTGCAGGCCTACTACTTGGGCGACGCGTGCCTCGTCTTCAACGCCCTCGACCAGGACCGGTCGGGCGCACTCAGCAGAGACGAGCTGCTCGACGTCTGCCGCGCCTCGTTCGACAGCATCGACGGCGACGGCGACGGGCAGGTACCACCAGCACACCCCGCCGACCACCGCCCCACTTAGATCACACGCACCCGGGGGTTGCCTGGGCCGACAGCTACTTGGGTTGCGCGGGCATCCGAGAGAGGAGCGTCTATTCACACCACACGCTGTGAGCAGGTTGCGGCGGAGGAGCTCGCGGCGGCGTGCGGCGACGAGCTGCTGCGCGATGCGGACACGAACGGGGACGGGTCATCATCCCGCGAGCATGCCGCGGCTGGGTATGGCCCTTCTCAGGGCCGCCTCGGAGCCCCCCATCGTACGTACGTCCCTCGTAGGCTCGTCAACTTTCTCGAGTACATGGCTTGGTGGAACAGGCAGAAGCGAGGCGCCGCCGGGACCAGCCTCAAAAGTTTCGACCAATGACCGCGTGGGTGCCGGGTTGCACGGGTGCCGGCTGCGCGGATCGCCGCCGCCGCCGGCTACGCTGGTGTCGGATGTGTTGGTGCAGGCGCCGGTTGCGCGGGGTGCTCGTCGAAGCTCGTCGCGTAGGCGGAGCAGACGACGGCCTCGCAGGTACCTGCTCCGTGCGCTGCTTCGCCCGCAGGCCTGCTCTCGGCGCGACTTTGGCAGCTGCAGCCAAGGCTTCTCGCGGCCGTGGCCCGCACGCAGCTGCCCATGCGCGTCGGCCGCGCGGGTGCCGCCGGACGCCACGACGCAGCTGGGTAGACATGGCAGCGATCGGGCGGTGGTGGCAATGGCAGCGGCGGCGGCGGCGATGGTGATGGCGGCAGGCTAGGGCGAGGCAACGTGAGTTGCGGCGCCCGCAGCCGCGACGCTCCTCGCTGCGCCCTCCGAGTGCCGCGACAGAGGCAGGCTCGGGATCGGCTCTCTGCTCCTGTGACTACTTCCGCAGGCCACGCCGTGATCGGGACTGGGGTTGCGCAACCACGTCTCCTCGTGCACTCGGTTGAGCGTTGCCCGTCGTCCGCCAATGGCTGAGCCCCAACCTCGACATCATCTCGACCGCAAAGCTCGACACCGGGCGACACTTCCACACTAAGTCGGCAGGTTCAGGCCACTAGCATTTTCTGAGCGGGAGATGGAAGATCCAGATGCGCCCCAGTTTGCTCAAGAGTCTTTCTCATTGAGTGTTCGCGGCGCTACTCGAGACTCAGAAAACGACTCTCTGTAGTTTGCACGTCCATAATCGCCCACCTCTGATATTGTGTGCTCTTTTGAACAGTGTGGCTTTTCGAGAGTGTAATCGAGTCTCACAGGTGAGGTCACCAGAGAGACCACCTCACGACCGGGACTGCCTCCGCGTGACGACCGACCCGTGCGCCCGCGGCCTCGGCGCGCCGGGCGGCTTGAGCTCGGCCTGCGGCGTCGCATCGCGAAGGGAGTCCCACTCTACGTCGCTCGCCTGTGACCGCTCCAACCACGCCGCTGCCTCGAAGAGAGCAAACGGCGGCCGCAACGTTGGCGCGGCGCCGCAAAAGCAGAGGGCGAGCGTGGCGGTGTGGCGCTGCTCTGCGGCGGCGTAGCAGCCCTCGCCGCACACCAGCAGCTGGCGCGACCACGGGCAGCGCCACAAGCGCCGCTGCCGACTGCCGCACACGTCGCAGCCGACGATGCTCTCGGCGGCGTCGCGCCGCTTGCGCTTGCCGCCCGCCTGGTGGGGAGCTGCTTGCTGCGCCGATCGCGCGTCGGGGTCCCGCCTCCGGAAGAGGTAGAGGGCGATGCGCAGCTTTGCGAAGTTTGGGAGCGGCACGTGCGCCTCCAGTGCCCACGAGGCTGGCTCGGAGAGGGCGTCGTGCAGGTGGCGGGTGCCCGTCATGCCACTCCCCCACTCGCCAATGTAGGCGACGCGGCTGCCGCGGAAGGACTCGAGCGCGGCGTCCGAGAGATCCGCCTTGGTTGGGATGGGCGGCGGTGAGGGAGGCGGTGGTGAGGGGATGCGGAGGCGAGGGTGGCGGCGGGGATTGGGGCGGTGGAGGTGGTGGTGGTGGTGTGGTGGTTGTTGTTGTTGTTGTTGTTGTTGTTGTTGTTGTTGTTGTTGTTGTTGTTGTTGTTGGTGTTGGTGGTGGTGGTGGTGGTGGTGGTGGTCGTGGTGGTGGTGGTGGTGGTGGTGGTGGGATGGCGGAGGTGGTGGTGGGAGGTTGGTGGCGGAGGGAGGGGCGGCGCCTCCCCGGGCGAAGGCATGCACAGCACAAGCGTGGCAGCGCCCGCCAGCCGCGGCTCGGCGAGGCTCTCCGCAGACCCAATCTCCACCGGAGGGCGTTGCCGCTCCGCCCCGTCGGGCGGGGAGATGTCGAGCGCCTGAAAGAAGAAAGGTGTCACAAAAAAGGGGACAGCGGAACAACCGGGCGGGGAGATGGTCTAGCGCGCCGTGAAGGGCTCGAGACCCGCCGTGGCGAGAAGCCGCGCCCAGTACCCGTTCGACGCTCCGAGCTCGACCGCGCCGCCTCCGCCTCCTCCGCCTCCAACGACAGCCTCCACCGCCGCGGTGCTCGGAACCGCAAACGCGAGCCAGCGCGCGCCCGCGTCGCGGCCAGCATACTGCCAGGCGAGCAGCGCGACCCGAACGGGCGGCTGCGCGCAGTCGCAGCCTCCCGAGACAGCGACCGCCTCCACCCACCGCGCGCGAAGCAGGCGCAGCAGCGAGCAGCCGCCCTTGCGCCACGGCGTCTTCGCCGGCGCGTCGCCCCGCACCCACTCCTCGCGGACGCCCCAGCTCTGGCGCACCTCAGCCGGCGCTGCGCGAAGCAGCGAGCGGCAGCGCTCACTCACGCTAGCAAGGCCGAATGCCACCGCGGCAGCCACCTCCATCACCCCCACCGGGTGGGCAAGCTTCTCCCTCCGCCGCCGGCCCACGCCCCACAGCGCCAAGAGCAGCCCGTCCAGCGCCGCGAGAGGCTCGAGCGGCTGCAGCTGTGGCGGCGCGGCGCTCCTGCCGGCCGCCAGCGTCGCAGCGCGATAGCTCTTGACGTCCGCCTGCAGATCATCGTCCAGCGCCAGCCGCTGCAGGCTCGTCTCCAGTGACTCCTGAGCGCGGTGACGCCATGGCAAGACGCCGGCAGCCGGCACGGATAGGAAGAGCCGCAAGGCGGTCGCCGAGGCGCACGCGTTGGCCAGCTCGTTCGGGTGCGTCACAGCCAAAGCCTCCACGGTCGACGCGCCAAACGTGGCGACCGCTTCTGGCCAGCTCGGAAGCGGCGGTGCTGGATCATCTCGCAAAATGAGAGCCGCCTCGGTCTCGGCGCGCCAGGCCTCGGCATCCTCGGCAGCTTTCGCCGCGGCCCTCTGCGCCTTGGACAGCTTTGGACGTCCGCCCATTTTTGACGGGTGACAGAGGTGCTGCGCGCAGGGCCACAGGTACAGGTGCAGGTGCTGCGCGTTACGCGTTACGCCACAGCACAGGTGCTGCGCGTGAGAACAGAGAAGTTGGCGCGTGGATGGGTGCGATGTAAATAAACCAGGTGAACCTAGGTAGGTAGGTAGGTGCGGATCGGCAAGAGCGCAATCGATCCTTTTGCCCTCTATCACCTTGGGTTGTAAGAACTTGAAACACACCACGCAGGGGCACAGCAAGCACGGATAGCCGTTGAGGAGAAAGGGCGTAAGGTGTATGCGCAGCCACGGCCACCTCCCGCGAGCGCGGCGGGGTCGGAATTGCGGTCGGAGGGAAGGGCGAGCCGCCGCCGCCGCCGCCATATACCATCAGCGACGACGACCGCGGCTCGCCCCAAACGCCAGGCGCTGGATCGGCAGTAGGGCTTGGGCGGCGCAGCGTAGGCCTCGAGCCACACGAGTCGCCGACAACCCCCCCTCATCGACGTGATGGCAGCACCCGCTGCCGGCCGATGCAAGCTGCCGCCTCCACCGCACCAGCGATACTGGCCGCGGCTCGCCGCCACGCGCCGGCTCGGAAGAGGGGCTATCGGCGGCGCAGCAGAGCGGCATGCGTCGTCATTCGAGCAGCACCAGGTCCCCTCTTCGACGTGACGGCCGCTCCCGGAGCCGGCCGGTGCGCGCCCGACCCACGCCCCCTCTCGCACCCCCCCGATCCCCCTGCGCGGCGCCCCCTCCACTGTGCGCCGGCTCGAGCGCCTATTGCCAAATCGCGACTTTCGAGCGCAGTGCGTGTGCCCCACACGTCACGCGAGCGCAGGAGAGTTTGCGGCAGAGCAGTACCGTGTACTAGCCGGAGGCATCGCGCCGAAAACCCCGCGCATTCCGCCCCAACAGAGGCTGCAGGAGGCAGATGGCCAATAGCGTGTCGTTTAGCGACCATCGTTACGAAATGTAGCGTTACCGGGAGCTCTCCAAGCTGTCTTGGGTGGTAAATATTTTTAACGGCGAGCCTGTTCCCCCCCTGTGCCCCTGATCGTCCTTCCAAAATCACAACCCTGTCAGCAGTCCTCCTCCGGGAATGTAGATGTGTACGTAAGAGCCACATAGGTCATAGATAGCCGTACATGGAAAATCCTGCTCGTGCAGGTGTGGACCCTGTCCTCCTCCCCCATCCCTCGTTTGGTTTTGTGTGTTTTCTTTCTTTTTTACAGAGACACAAGCATGGCTTCCTAGCTTGGATTGCCTCTCCCCACCCCAGTGCACACACAGACACAAGCATGGCCCTTTCCCGACGACAAACCTTCTCCTCTACGCACGCCCGTATAATAACTCATCCTCCTCCTTCCTCCTCCCACTACTGGTACGGAGAGAGAGAAGGCCCACATCGCACATGGACATGCTCTACCTTGGGGCTCACGCACCATCTACTGCGGGCCTTGGGCGACCAGAAAGAGGCAGATCGCGGCCGTGAACACGACCTCGACCAGCGGCACCGGGCCGAGGAAATGTGAGCCGGCGACGTCGATCTCGTCGTCGTCGTCCTCGTCGTTGACTTTGGCCGCTGCGGACTCCTCCTCCCACATCGCCGCAACGAGGAGGGCGAGGAGGCAGATGCCCACGACGGGGGCGCCCTCGGCTACGAGGGCCGACGAGGAGTCGATCTGGGCGGGAGGGTCGGCCGCCTATGGCAAGAAAAAGGGCTGGGAGAGGGGCTTAGTGCACGAGCAGGCGTCAAGCGGCCGCCTTTGGCTGGAAGAATGGCTGGTGCGCGAGGGCGGCGGCGACAAAGGCGGAAGCGACGCCGTGCACTGGGATGCGGTCGGCCGGCAGCGGCGGCGAGGCCGGCCCGGTCGACGTGGCGGAGTCGCCGACGCTGGAGACGGCGGAGAAGAGGTGGATCAGCACGCACGCGGCGAGGAGCGCGACTCCGATGGCGCCGAGGTGGGGCGCGGAGGCGGTCTGCAGGTCGATCGACCGCGTCGATTTCGCCAGGAAGAAGTCGCCGATCCGGCTGGCCGTGATCGTATGCAGGAAGGGTGTGCCATCGGAACGGTAGTTGACGAGTGTCGTCCCGGCGCGGCCCTCGCGCCCGTACACGCGCTGGGTGAAGCGAGCGGCCTTGGCAGCGTCGGTGCGCTCGCCCGCGAGGATCTTGGGAGTAGCACCGATCGCCTCGGCACGGTAGCCGCACTGGTCTTGCCAAGCGACGTTCGCTGCCACGATCACATTGGTCTTCCGGTCGACCAAGATGGCGGGCGTGCGGCAGCTGAGGCGGACTCGGATGTGGTTTGGTGTTGCGTGGAAGCTATCCTCCGCCCAGAGCACGTCCTCGACGGTGACGACGGTGGTCGCCTAGAGTCAGGCAGGCCACACGGTGTCAGGATGTGCAGGCCACACGGTGTCAGGGTGTGCAGGCCACACGGTGTCAGGGTGTGCAGGCCACACGGTGTCAGGGTGTGCACGAGGACTGACGGTGGTGCACCATGTTTCGTTTCTGATTGCAATCTAGAAAAAGAAAAGAATTTGCCTGTTATTGTGTTTCTTCCATCACGGCGCCTCCTGCAAGTTTACGCCACATAAAAAGTAAAAATGGGTCCCCCTCTCTCTCTCTCCCAGGGGTTCAAATAGAGACGCATCTCAATCCGTCCCGCGCTTTACGTAGCTCTTCGAAGAACTCATTCCCGCAAATGAACTGAATAAGCGATCCGTCCCGTGCATCTGTAGACTGGATCAAGCGCCAGACGCCCCCCCCCTTGCGCCGCCGGTTGGCGCCGCAAAAGCGCATCCGGAACTTCTCACCATGCTCGCGGTCCTCCAGGGATCCGCCGCTTCCGCCCCCAATGGGGCGGGGTTGAATGGGCTAGCGCTGGCGTGGCGTTGACATGAGCACAAAGTTGCTAATGTGCGTGGACGAACAAACACAGAGTAGGGTTGAAATCGTCCACGTAAGGCTTAGGGAGTGCTTGGGGTGGCCTCAGGCATCCCCAAGGGAGTCGCAGCGGTGCCCCATAAGCAGCTTAGCGATTGTCGAACCTCGAAGCGCGTTCGTTTGAAGAAAGGCACACGGTACTATCGGGCCACCGGAGAGTCACCGGTAAACTTCGACACTTTGAGGGGTGAGAGCATGCATTATTGTGGCATATCATGTCACATAAGGTCGAGCTTGACCGCAGAAGCATCAAGAAGCGGATACTCCAGCTCGACTGTGCCGGCAAACTGCCTCCTCACGCCGGCCGGCTGCCAGCAGCCGTCGCGGCCCGTGGCGTGCTCCAGAGAGGGAGAGAGGTCGAGTCCGCATGGCTCAGGCCGGCCAGAAGGTGTGTGGCGACGGCACCGTGGCAGGAGTGCGGAGAAGAGCTCGCCGAACGCGAGCAGCGGAAGGCCGAAGTGTGCCAGCGCGAGAGCCTCGCGAACGGGTGCAGAAGGAGCTCGCCGTGACACGATGCCGGGCGGTGGTGGTGCTCTGGCGGCTGTGCACAGTGGGAAAGGTCAGGCTGCAACAGCGTAGCACGATGGTAGTGCCCCGCTGCAGCCTGGCCTGACATGCACAGGGCGAACAGAGACCTTGCTATCGCCTGGCGCTCGTCTGGGCAAACTTTGACCGCCGCCCGGCTCGCCACGAGCACGCAGCGACAAAATGATGACCGTGTCGAAGTTGAGGCTGGTCGAGAGGAAGAGGCTGCCGTGCGAGCCGGCAACTGGCTGGCTCGGCGTGAACGGCCGGCGGCGACTTTTTGCCGAAGAGCGTGCCTGCCGAAGAGCGAGTCTGACTCAAAGTGCACGGAGTGGGTGCCTCCGACCGTCGGGAAGAGTCCGATGGGTGCCAGGAGGATCCAGAGAGCGATGAAGGCGCAAATTGCGCCGCCGAAAGCGGCGGTAGAGGCCAGGACGTGCGCGTGGGCCGGTCGGGCCACGTCCCGGGGCGAGCGATCGAGGGCCGCGGGGCTCGCCCCGCCGGCCGAGCGGTGCGAACGGCCGGTCGCCCGCTTCGGGTTGGACCCGCCGGGCGGTCCGGCGGCGGATGGCACGGCCGGGCGGGCCCCGGGAGGCAGGCGGGGCCGCGACAGGCGGTAGGGCAGAAAATCCCATTCGGAGAGCGTGTGGTCCGACCCGTCTGCTTCTTTCAATGATAGGGACTCCTTACTTCAGCTGGCATGTCGGCTGTCGGGCCTCTTCGGCTCGCGGCCGCCGTGCTGCTGATCCTGAGCGATCCTGCGCTCGCACTCGCGCAGAGCACGCGTGCTCTGCGCCCCGTGGACGCCGCGACAGCGGAGTCCCACGTCGGCGCTGTCCGACACCCACTCCTCGGCTCGACGCTCCAAGAGCTGCCAGCTCGACCCGCTTCAAACATCTGCAGCGCGGTCGAGCCGGTCCAAGCTATCGTCGAGCACCCGACGGCTGCCGACGCGGCTCCCGAGCCAGCCTCGGCTGCCGCCTCGGCTTCCGCCACGGCTTCCGCCACGGCTTCCGCCACGGCTTCCGCCACGGCTTCCGCCACGGCTTCCGCCACGGCTTCCGCCACGGCTTCCGCCACGGCTTCCGCCACGGCTCCCGCCACGGCTCCCGCCACGGCTTCCGCCACGGCTTCCGCCACGGCTGTCGCCACGGCTGTCGCCACGGCTTCCGCCACGGCTTCCGCCACGGCTGCCGCCACGGCTGCTGCCACGGCTGCTGCCAAGGCTACCTCGTCTCGTGTCCTGTCTTTTGTGTCTGTGTCGCGTGACGAGTCTAGTGTGCCTAGCGTGTCTAGCGTGTTTTCTACCCGCTGCACAGGTCCGGCGCCGACTACCTCGACCGTCCCACCCACCTGGCACCGTGCAGAATGGCTCTGTGTCGGACCAAAGGCAGCCACAAGGCAGCCTGTCCCTCACAGTGTCCACAACGCCGGTGGGGTCCCCTCGGATGAGGGGGCGGGGGCGGCACAACCGTCTTTCACATTGCCCTCGACGACTGGCAGAGCCGGAGCCAACCGCACCAACCACAGCCCGACCAGTAGCCAGGAAACTACCCCGCTGGGCGGGGGCCTGGTTGGGCTGTGCGAGGGGCGGCCCTCTCGGAGCCACAAATTGTACAAGTCCGTCGACTCCGAGCGCATCTTCTACCCGTCCGACGACTCGCTCCTGCCGGGACCCGGGCCGACCGGTACCGAAGGCAGTCGAGCACCAGGACGAGGAGGCGCCGTTCTGGCGTCGCCCGTCCCCAACAACTCCGACATGGACATCTTCGTTGGCGGCACGCCCGCAAACGAGACCATCACCAGTCTCTTCTCGCGCGACGCCTCGTCGGCGGGCGGCCTCTGTGACCTCTCCGACCCGCTGGGACTGGTGATGGCAAAGCTCCCGGGAGATCTCTTACTCGCCGGCCTCATGGCGGCTTACACCAAAAACGGCATTTTCGCTTCCCTGTTCATTTTACACAGCGTCTCCGCCGCGCCCAAGCCTTGGTACTACGCGCTCTACGTTCCAGGGTCTGGTTGGGGCGTCTTTTCCACGTGGGACCTCTGCGCAGCGCACGGCGCCGTCGGGGGCTCGAGGGCGCGCCACAAGAAGTACCGCGACATCCAAGAGGCGCTCGCCCACATCAACGTGCACTACCCAATCCCGACCTCGACCCAGATCCTACTCGACTTCTGGTACCCGTTTGAAGGGGAGGCAACGCCAGCCCATCCCGGCGTCCTTCTCCAACCCGTCGTCCTGAGCCCCGGCACGGTCACCACCTACGCCCAGCCAGGCAACGGCAACGGCGCCGCTGCGTCGTCATCTGCTGCGTCGTCCTCGACGGCAACCGGCAACGGTGCCACTGCGTCATCGTCGGCTGCATCGCCCTCGACCTCGCCCGGCGACGGCGCCAGCATCGAAGAGCTCGATCCATCGACATCCTCCCCCATCGACCGGCCGCCGAGGCGCAAGCGCCGGTTCGAACCGCCTCTCGACTGCCAGACAGCATCGGCCCCGCCGTCGCCGCCGCCGGTGCCACCGTCGTCGCCACCGCCACCGCCGCCACCACCGCCCCCCTCGCCGCCCCCTCCTCCTCCCTCGCCGCCGCCGCCAGCGCCGCCTTCCCCACCGCCACCCCCCGGCGGCGACGCGTTCCCGGCCAACCTCTTCGCCCCGACTTACTTCGGCGTCGTCCGCCCGGCGCCGACACAAGAATCTGGCTCGCTCGTCCGCCCTCGCTCACCACTCGCGGACGCTGCTGCCAAGGGCGACGCCTCCCCGCCCAGCGGCAAAGCGCGGACGACCTTCGGAGGTGCGGGCGATCCCAAGGGCTCGTCCAAGGTGCTGAAGACACACCACGACGACACGTCGGACCCTTTGTCCCACGCCGACGCCACCGCCAAGAAGCGTGACAAGAAGCGCGCCGCATCGACTGCCCTCGACAAGGCGGCGGAGGAGGAAGCCCTCGCTAAGAAGCACAACGCATCGTCTGCCCTCGACGAGGCGACGACCGACGACGAAGCCCTCGCCGCCGGACAACGCCTCGCCGACGCCGAGCGCGAAGTACTAGAGCTCAACGCCGCAGACTCGCCACCACCGCCGCCGCCGCCCGAGTCCAGACCGGATCCAGGTGGCCCGATCTCGCCGCCGCCATCGCCACCGCCGCCACCGCAAGGACAGGCGTCCGACGACGGCGAGCAGGGCACGGGCGACGACCACGGACCCGCCATCGCCCCGGCGGACGACGGCGCCGACGCCGATCCGGCAGACGCCGGTGCGGCCTTCCTAGACGCCCTTCCTGCGCCTCCAGAGCATGTCGACACCACGACGGGTGAGTCCACCTCGGAGGGCGACTTCGACATCGACGAGGGGCCCATCTCCCAGCGCCTCAAGCGCCGAGGTGGAAGCAAGCCCCCGCCGCCTTACAGTGGCCACGACGGCGACGAAGAATCGTCCGACGAGGACGTCGGAGGAGAGAGCGAGGAGGGGAACGTGGCGGAGCAGGCGGAGGGATCGCAAGCCGCCAGCAGCTCCAACACCAACCCACCTCGCCAAACCTTCTCTTGCTCCATCTGCGCCCGAGACTTCAAGACAGCCAAGTCGCTCTGCACGCACTTCAAGACGCACAACTACACGCCCGTGGACCTCGCCTCCAGTGGGCTCACCAAGTGCGAGTGCTGCGCCCAGATTTGCTGCCTCATCCCCAACAAACTTCCGGATGGCTCGGGTGGCAACGGGACGAGCATGTTCTTCAACCACCTCTCGTCTCGCAACGACCCGCTGCACAAAGCCCACAAGGAGAAGATCACGCCGAAGGCCGAGTGCACCGACGCCATCGCCAAGGCACTGCAGCACGCGGCGCCGGGCACACCGGGCGCCAACCTGACCCACGCTGACAACCGTGGCGTCTCGGCTGCCACTCGCACCCGGCGGCTCGCGTGGGCGCCCGCCGTCCCGGGCGCCGCTGCATCCTCTGCTGCTGCTGTTGCCGCCCTCCGCAACGCCACCGGCGTCTCGCTCGCTTGGAACTCCCCCTCGGGGGTGGCCGACACGATCAATCTCAACACTACGCCCGCCGCAGACTACGATCTCTCCATCTGCGACAGCGTCTCGATCGAGTGCCTCAAGCGCCTTGTGCATGCCCAGAAAGAAAGAAAACAGACAACCCAAGGGAGGGATGGGAGGACGGCACGCCGCCACCACACAGGGATTTTAAAGTGTTGTGCGAGGGGGTGCGGAAAATTCTTTTTCGTGCATTGCTCCGGCCGCCTTTGGTTTGCTGTGTGTATGACGGCCACCCGCCTGCTGCGCTCGTGCGTTGAGACCCTCGTGGGCATCGTGCTCTTGCCAGCACTCCTTTTGATTATGTTTCCATTCCATCTCGTTGTCTCACCACTCATCGCGCTCGGCCTCTGCAGCTCCGACGCTGCTGTCGGCGTGCCTCCCGCCCTCCTCGCCTGGCGTTGCCTTCCATATCTGATTCTGATGGTGCTCTTCGTCGACCTGCCAATCGCCATCTTATTCTTCCCGACACATCTGATCGAGGGTCTCTTCCTCCGGAACCCCCTCATCCTCGCCGTCTACAACCTCTGCCGACGCGCCTCACAGCTCCCCTACCACGTGCCGACGCTCCCCGACACCGAGTCCGGTCTTCAAGCTCGCGAACGGTCGCGCGCAAACACCAATGACGGCGCCCGCTACAGATGGCACGACTCCATCTGGGCTGCCCTCGAGGGCGACGGCGACAAGGTCCGGCCGGGCGATGTGCGGCTGATCAGTCTGAACTGGCTCATGGCGCTGGCAGAGCGGGGCGACGTGCTCCCGCGGCGGCAGGACCTGCCAGAGGAGGCCTTCTTAAGCTCTGCTCAGCTGAGGCGGATCGAGAAAGGCGCAAGGCGCGGCTTTGACCTCGCCGGCTTTGCGGAAGCCTTGCAGCGCTTCGGCAAGGAGCCCTCCCCCTCATCCTTTCTCGGCTTTATCGCCAGCTTTTTCGGCCGCAAGCGCAACCCAGACCGGCTGCTTCCCGTCATCTCCGTCTCCTACTGCTGGCTTGAGGCGGCGCATCCAGACCGAGAGGGCCGCCAGCTCCAGCTGCTCTCCCGCAAGCTGCGGGGCCTCTACGGCGGGCGCGGCCTGCTCGGCGCGTGCCGCGAGTACGGCTTCTCGGACATGGTGAGCTGCCTCCCGCGCCTCATGCCCACCATTACTCCCTTCCTCACCGCCACTCCTCTCCTGGCTCGCGCAGGGCGTGTTTCTGGACTGGAGCTCGGGCTACCAGAAGGACCCGGCGCTATTTGCCGAGCGGCGCGCGTATGAGGCGAGCCGGTCGGGCGAGCAGAAGGCCGCCTTCGGTCGCATGCTGGAGAACACGATGGTGAGCACACGCCAGCCCCTTTCCCAGCCCGATAGCGCCACAACATGCACCGCTCTCACGGCACGTTGGCTTTACATTCCGCGTTAGGACCTCTGGTACGCGCACGCCTCGGTCACGGTCGTGCTGCTCACGCAGCTGCCAGACGAGCTGCCCGCCGGCTTTGACCGGAGCCGGACCTACGACACTCGCGGCTGGACGACATTCGAGCGCTGCTCCGCAGAGCTGGGCGCAAAGCCCTCTACGCTGGGCTTTGCCAAGTGGAAGCTCGTCATCGACGTCGCCAGCGGCGACGGCGGCGCTCAGCGGCGGCTCCCCGCGACTCCAGAGCGCATGGCGACGCTGCTCGCCGCTTGCCGCTTCACCAACGGCGCGGACTCGGCGACCGTGCTGGCGCTCTACGAGAAGACGGCGAAGGCCGTGCTGGGCACGGTCGAGAAGCTCTACTACATCGGTCTGCCGCTCGTGCGTGGCGACGCGTGGACTAGCCCGGCGCTGCTGGCGGAGGCGCTTAACTATTGCGAGAGCCTCCGGACCCTCTTCCTAGTTGGGAATCGCCTCGACGACGAGGGCGTGGCGGAGCTTGCGGCGGGGCTCGAGGACGGCGCGCTCCCGGCGCTTGAGTCCCTCGACGTTACGGCAAACCGTTTCGGCGCGCGCGGCGTCGGCGCGCTCTGCGGCGTGTTCCATCGCGGCGTGGCGCCGACGCTGCAGATGCTCGACGTCAGTATCACGCCTATTGGCGATGAGGGAGCCGCGGTGTTAGCTGAGGCACTGGCGACGGGCGAGCCGTCGCATGGGCTGGCCTTGTCGTGCTGCGACGTGGGCGACGAGGGCGCGATGGCACTCGCGGCTTCCCTCCCGGCCGCGGGTCAGGGATGTCGCGTGAACGCCACGTTCAATCGGATCGGCCTCGCGGGCCAGGCGGCACTACTGGAGGCGCTCGAGGCGAAGCACGGGCCGCAGCCGGGGCACGCGATAGCGGGGGCGCAGATGAACTTGCTTCCCTGGTCGTACCCGCTCGTGCGCGCGTGGGGGCGAGGCTGGCGCCGTGTGGCCGAGAGCGGCCGAGTCACCATATGAGGCACACCTTATTTGAAACAGACAACCCAAGGGAGGGATGGGAGGACGGCACGCCGCCAACACACAGGGATTTTAACATTTCGTTAGTCCCACTGCAGCGCAAATTTCTTTTTTCGCTCCCCTGCTGGCACTCTCCGCCCCTACGCCCTAGGCCCTAGCCCCGCCCTCGGCGGCCGAGAGCGAGCTCGAGATGAGCGACAACAAGAAGGGTAGAAGGCTGCCGCCCGCTCGCACAGCCTCCGGGGCGGGCTGCCTCGCGTGGACTGCCTTGGCGTCCTCTCCGCCGACGAGGGCACCGCACTGCTCCTAGCGTACAGTCTACATCCTCTACAGGAACTACACCCTCCCTCAGGGTACGATTGTGAGCGCAGCCGCTCATAGTCCTACATACAAGATGTAGGATTGCGAGCGCTACTGCTCGCAATCGGAGGCATGTTGCTAGGATTGTGAGCAGTGCTGCTCGCAATCCTAGACTTTGCTCGGATTGCGAGCGCGCTGGTAGTAGTCGTAGGCGTCACCAGCCACCTTGGGAGCGAAGCTGCTCGTAGTCAGGCGCTCACAATCGCACAGAGATGCTACGATTGCGATGACTGCTGCTCACAATCCTTCGACTTCTAGGATTGAGTTATTGAGAGCGAGGCTGCTCTCAATCCTAGCCGTCTAGAAAAGAAGGTTCACCGCCAGTGCGCGCCAGTCCCGTGCCCAGTGTTGTGCGAGGGAGCTCAGGAGTAAAATTCTTTTTCTTGGAGTCGCTTAGGCGGCTCCCGTGGTGTACCTGTGTTAGTGCCAGTGAGTGCGCGCCAGTCCCGTGCCTAGACCCTAGTGTCGGCCGAGGGAAATTCTTTTTCTAGCACGCGCCAGTTCGCACCTGTGTCGAGCCTGTCTGCTGTGAGAGAGCACTTGGAGCACTTGGAGTGCAGTCAGTAACCTCACATCCAGGGCCGGGGAGCTGAGAAGCGCACCCAGCGGGCCGGATGATCGGCATCGGGCTACGGGCTAGAGAGCCCTGACCCCTAGCTAGGGGGGGTGCGCGTTCGCAAGGAAAGGGCCTTAAAGTAAACACGGGTCTCCGAGGGTTAGTCCGCGCTCCAGGTTTCCCCTAGCAGCGGAGCGCCCCCTCTACTCGGAGCTAATAAACACCAGACACGCACACGACGTACAGAGAGAGGTAGGTAGGTAGAAAGGTGAAGAACAGCCAGGCTCGGACTGGACACCAACGCGGTATGGGTGGACGCTGGACAGATGATGACGACACGCACGAGCGACACACAGACACAAACAAGCTCACAAGACACACAGCCAGCGGGCTGCCACACACCCTGAGTCGGCTTACACATAACTCAAGGCCATATCCTCCCTGTCGCCCCCCCCAGCACTCCACGGTGCCAAGAGTACAAACAAGGGCACAACGACACAACAGACGACAGGAAGTGACATGCGAGGCTAGAGCAGGCGTGCTCTACCTCCAGCAATCTCTCCGGCCGGCGAGGCACGGACGAGACCGTGTGTGGGGTCTAGTGAGGTGTCTATGGACGCCCTCCTCAGAGGCTAGCTGCCTGCGGCTAGCCCTAATCTTGCACTCACAGGCGATGACAATCCAATGTATGAGTGTATGCAAGCAGAGGCGCGTGTGCTAATTCTAGGCCGCACGTCGTGGCACTATGACGGAGGTAGACGTGCGACCGCAGCGCGCCCACCACAGTCTCGGTGGTGCGCGCGTGTTAGCGATAGAGTTGCGGGGAGAGCCATGCCCGACTTTTCGAAGGCGAGCCCCACGCCACGGATGCCAGCCGTGCCTTCGCGGGAGTCGTCTCACGAGCCGCGCCCCGTCGGCACTGTCCCCGAGTAGCCCCGCCTTGGCGGCACACACTCTCGACCAGGACAGTCCGGCCTCCGGGAACGTGTCGCGCGCCGGCGACGATTGCGGCGTGGTCGTTTTGAAGCGAAGATGGCACGACCACCGCCCTGCTTCGCAGACCGGGCAAGGAGGGGGCTGCTCCCGTTCCGCGAGGAACAGGAGGTCTCCCCCCCTCCCCCGGCCTGAGCAGCGACGTGTGGAAGGCAGCCCCTTGAGTCGAGGGCGGCGCGACCGTTGTTCCGCATCAAAGACCAGAGGCCCCGGTCAGGACAGATGGTCGCGCCGCCCCGCTCCGCCCGCCCGCCGATGCGCCGCGCCGCCGCCTCGCGCAGCCGCCGCGCCGCGCCCCGCCCGATGATTAATAATTAAGATTACCCGGAATACGGTACGCAATTAAGGAATTAATGAGTGAATTAATCAATTAAGTGAGCGCCCTCGCGTCACCTATGACTTAAGGCCGGCAATCTACTAGCCC